GGCAACGTGAGGTCTATTGTTACTTTACTTCCATATCATATACAGTAACAGTGCAGTAGCTTCCACATTATACAGTACTGTGGTTTTGTTACTTCCATATTCTATTATGAAAATAAAACTTTGAAAATACACAGAGTGGTTCACAGTGTATTATTCATTCACTCCACGCTCAGTAAACTACTCTTGTAGACACAGCTGAATCACAACTGCGAGGCCATCCACCTCTGCTACAGATTTCGTTCCATTTAGTGTCACATGTGCCAAAGAAAATCTGCCTAAGTCCTGTTTCAAATGATTCAAATCTCAAGGCCATGATCACAAAATGTACTGAGTCATTGCCCCAAGTCATTTGACGTCAGTCTGGGCTTTGTGTTTGTTTTTGACTGACTTAAATGTTAGGATTGTCTTTCACATGTTGTACAGTTTTCTATTGGTACAGTTTGTGTGTGTGTGTTGTCCAGAAAAAAAAATAAAATAAATGAAATATTAGGAGGGCCATCCATCTATCTGAGGGGTCCCAGGGCATTCTAGAGCCAGCTGAGAGACATATTATTGATGTGTCTGAGATGGCATTACATTCAATAGGGCAATATTATTTAATACAAATGGGGGCAGTTCAAATTAATATAGTTAAAATGCAGATTTGTGTTGTAATACAGTGAGTTCTTGGGTCTAGTCACTAAAGGAAATGATCAGGTTCAACATCTGTTTTATTTACCTTTTAGATCTGCCATAGCAAAATACAAAGTAATCAATAGGAAACTCTTTTGTGCCCCCATTTGAGAGTATGACATCATAACATTCTAGAATCTGAAAACCACTTATAGGAGGGTTTCGATATCATATCATATTATAATAGGGAACAAACAGTAATATGCCCAACCTTTACTGTTTCCTCATGAGAAATGTATTTTCCCTGTCTATGTGAATCATGTGCAGTATAGTGATGCTTTACTTGATTTTGTCAGATGGTAGGAGAAGCTTATGCCCCTTACAGTTAATGCCTTCTCCTGGACTGCACTCCATGTGTGCTCCCTGGACCTGGTTTGTGGATCTCAGTGTCCTCTCTGATCCAGCACTGGTGTTTGTTGCTTTCAGCATGGATGACCCTGACTTTGTTCCAGCCCATAATGTGGTTTTGTCTCTTGCAGTGGCCAGATATGGCTGATTTCAGATTTCCTCTATTTGCCATTTCCTTTTCACACTCTCTTTTGATGTTCTGCCAAATGGTCTTCCTGTTTCTCCCACATATGAATTGTTGCATAATGAGCATGACATCTCGTATATTATCAACTAAGTATAGCAGCTAACAAGACACGTCACTGCAGCATTACTACAAGTAGAACTGTACTGTACTGAACTTAAGTACAAATGTTAGGTATCTGTACTTTACTTTACTACATTTGTGAACTGAACTAAAAAGTAAAAGTTGTTTTTTCATGAAAAGTAAAAGTTGTTTTTTCATGTATTTACTTTACTACATTTGTGAACTGAACTGAAAAGTAAAAGTAGTTTTTTCATGTATTTATTTTAGTTATTTCTCTGTGCTGAAAAGCCTGAGGGGTTTATTTTAATCAAAAACATACAAATAAAAACAGCTGGAAAAAATTTTACATTCTGTGGTTTATACTGAACTAAATTTCACACAAATCAACATTTGAAGCTTTATCAGATTCTAAAATTTTCTAAATACTTTTCCTTTTTACTTTTCAAATTATTTTTTTTAAATGGGTACTTTAATACTTTTACTTAGGTAGATTTTTAATGTGATACTTTTCACTTTACTTGAGTACATTTTGCACTGTTATCTGTACTTTTACTTCAGTAACAAACTCAAATAATTCTTTCACCACTGGTGAATCAGGCCCAGAAGACACTACAAGATAATTCAAACATGCACATATGACATAATCACTTCAGGCATGTTTCTGATGAGGGAATAATGTCATAACATAGAAGAAAGATCCAAAACATGGATTTTGCATAACAGTCCCACTTTAAATGATTGAACTTGACAAGCATGACAAGCTCTTCTCATTCATCATGTATTCACTTGTCACATCACCACACCAATGCAAAGTACTGGTACAGGGATCAAAGTATAGCTGAATTAATTGTGAATTTAGTTTTTTTGTTTTATCGATACCTACATGAGTCTTTCCCAGGGTGACAAACGCCTCCGGCTCTGTCACTTGTGCCATTATTCTAACTGCTGCTTACTTAAGTAACATCGCGCACAGTGCCAAGATTTGATCAGTGAACAATTTGTGGATTCAACTGAACAAACCTGGGCATACACAATGTGCCATTATTGAGCTCATTTCATTTCACTTTCATTTGTACGGACAGTTTATAGCTACTAGTGGTTGTTAGAATGTGATGATGCATTGAACTTTTATTTTAAAAAATATCCAAAAGGTACATTCACAAACCTTGAACCTGATCATCACAAACCTGCATTTTAACTATATTTTTCACTGCCCTATAGAGATATTTTTGTGTTGCCTGAATGCTCCACTGTATGGCATTGAATGGCACTATGCCAAGTTACAAGTCAGATCTGTGTAGAGGTGAACCCTGCACACAAAATAATGCATGTTTTTCAATATATGTTTTTATCATCAAAAACACATACAGTTTCATAAATGCAAGATAATGCCACACTGGGGAACATTCAAGGCAAAGCAATACCATCTCCATAGTGCATCTTTAAAACTCCCATATGACACAAAATGGATTCTTATGAGTTTTAAACCATGTTATATCGTTGTCAACTCCTCAAATACCTAGCATTGTGTTTTGTTTTTGTTCCTTAATTATGCTTAATTATTAGTCTGTCTAAATCTCCAAAGCTCAAAATGCTCTGGTCCACCTAGTAGTAGTAGTAGTAGTAGTAGTAGTACAGGTTTTATTAGTAGTATTAGAAGTGTGAATGAAACATAACTCCAAAGATGTTTTTGAGGAGGAAACAGCATTATAACATAGATCAGAAAATATAGGCCCTTTAACTCAATCGCAACTTTAAAGGGCCCATATAACACCATTTTCTGATCCATGTTATAAAGTTGTTTCCTTATCAAAAACATCCCTAGAGTTGTGTTTTGTTTTATTCACACATGTTAAATGCACATTGCACATTGAGTTCTTCTCTCAAACTGAAAACACTCAGTTCTACCTTGTGATATCATCAAGCAGCAGTTTTCAGGTTAACACCTTTTACCTTTTGTTCAGAAGAGATTGACAATAGACCTTTTTCACAACAGTCGGAAGTGCCGCGATGTAGGGTAAATGTCACTTATGAAATTTTCTACCAGCTTCATAAATCTGCCCCATCACAAAATCTTCATCCAACAAGATCCATAAAGAACATATTCTGTCCATGAAGAATTTATCCACAACTACCAAGATAAGAAAGACGAAAACTTAAAGGCTACAAACAACTAGCATTAGTGAACTACTCCTGAGCAAAGCTAACATTATGGTCATGAATAAAACATAAGCAACTTGTTAACTCAGACTGATTCTAGAATTCAAATTAAAAATAAATTTCATGATGTAGATATTAACATAGACAGAGAGATTGTGTGCAGTTTAAATCCTATACATGTAATCTGTGAACATCTGTAGCACTCGAACTGCCCAAATCTCTGTCTATGCTAATATCTACATCATGAAATCGATTTTTTATTTGAATTCTAGAATCAGTCTGAGTTCACAAGTTACTTATTAGTGAATTACTTATTACCTATGCAAGGCTTTGGAGGCAGGAGTGCTACTTGGTTTTTTTCCCACTTTTACTTATTACCTATGTTTTATTCATGACCATAATGTTACTTTTGCTCAGGAGTAATTTGCTAATGCTAGTCGCTGTTAGCCTTTACGTTTTCGTCTTTCTTACCTTGATAGTTGTGGATAAATTCTTCATGGACAGAATATGAATATAAAACATAAGTAATAAGTAGTTTGTTAATAAGTAACTTGCTAACTCAGATGCTACAGATGTTCACAGATTACATGTCTCGCATTTCAACTGCACAAATCTCTGTTTACGCTAATATCTACATCATGAAATCGATTTTTAATTTGAATTCTAGAATCAGTCTGAGTTAACAAGTTACTTATGTTTTATTCATGACCATAATGTTAGTTTTGATTAGGAGTAGATCGCTAATGCTAGTCGTTGTTAGCCTTTACGTTTTCGTCTTGATACCTTGATAGTTGTGGATAAATTCTTCATGGACATAATATGTCCTTTGTCGACCTTGTTGGACGAAGATTTGGTGATGGGGTTGGTAGATTTATGAAGCTGGTGGAAAATACACCAGACATTTCCACAGATATTTTGCCATAGAAAAGCATTAGCGTAAGTGACGTTTACCCAACATTGCGGTACTTCGGGCATTGTGAAAAAGGTCTATTGCAGGTCTGAAATTACCCAGATAATTCTAATGTAGGTGTACAGAGTTTAAAAGCACAGTGGAGCACATCCTGAGGTGGAATTGTGAGAGAAGAACTCAGTCTAAATATGCAGGATTTCTGTGTTAAATGTGCAAATGAAACAAAACAAAACACAACTCTAGGTCTGTTTGTGATGAGGAAACAACAGAAAACATAGATCAGAACATTGTGCAATATGGGCTCTTTAAATCAACAAAGAGATGGTATACGAGATATTACAGTGATAAAAATTTTAATAAATCCTAACCGAAATCATAAATCAGACAAACTATAAATTACAAAGATGTGTTGTTGCTGCTTTCATCTATTTCGCAACTATGTAAATTCCCCAAAGCTTATTTCCTTGTATCCAATATCTTTTCCATGGCATTGCTTCCTCTTCCACACCAACAGCCATGGTAACTTCTGGATCCCGAGCGTGGGAACAATTGCTCAGGTGTGTTCAGACAAACCCCGCCCCCTGTGCAGGTAAGCCCGCCCCCTCTTCTGTGACTCATCTGGGTGCATAAAATCTTAGTCATGATCGAGCTGCATCTGTATTCTGTGATTTCACTCTGTAGACAGCATGGACAGCCTCAGCGCTCTACTCTTACTGGCTCTGCTCTCATTGGGACAAGCCACTTCCGTCACAAGTAAGTTTGATGAATTCTTACATGTATTGAAAATTGTTAATATTGTGAATTTTAGTTATTTTAATTTTTTTGGTTTTGAGAATTTAAAAGTCGTAGGTAAAATTTGGGGTAAATATAACTTCTCTATTTGAGGGACTGCCACCTGCTTGTCTTCATGGAGATGTTACTGCGTTGTCTAGAATGTTACAAACTGCATTACAGGGCAGATCTATGGAGAGTCGCCCCTATTCACAGAGAGAATTATTGTATTTTTGAGCAATCGAACCGCCCGTAATCAATACATGCCAGATAGATGTGTTTAATGTCTTCCCATGGAATTTTCCAGGCAAAGCAATAGCATCTCCATGGAGACAAGCAGGTGATGGTTGCGCAATGCAAAGTTAAATTATATCATATTCAAGAAATTACAAAAACATGACATAGATAAAAAGCAATGTCCAACCACAAGTATTTCAAAATTCAATAATAACTTTTGCCTTTCTGAGAATAGACTTTTTTTTTTTTTTTTTTTTTTTTTTTTGTGGTTCATGGCACAGAATTACAGCCACTTTTTGTCATTCTGTCCCAAGGCAACTTTGAGATTTCCTATTTTTAATTATTAATGTTCATATTTTAATCAGTTTTGACACTGGTAAAACTTATTTTGAGTTTTTATTTTGATTCACTTTATATATAATAAAAAAAAAGAAAAAAAAGAAAAGAAAGACCAAATATCTTGTGTCCTGTTTAGGTTCTTCACTTTCAAAATGGCAAGCATATCTCAAAAATATTGCTGTTAAAGCTGCACTGTGTAACGTTTCTGGTGTTAGTGTTATTGCTTTGCCTGCACTAAGTAAGTACTAAACAAATATCTCTTGTATTTATTCAAATACAAGTGCTTTTATTTCTCAAAACTACTGCAAAAACATGCTTTATTTTTGTGACCTGTAACTTAGCCTGGTAATGTGGGCTGCTTGTTGCCATGGAGACACTGAAATTAAATACCAAACTATAGAACATTTAAGAAAACAAAATAAAACAAAACCAAACATGGAGTTAAACAGGTGGTGGAGGACACTCTACCAGAAAAGTTACACAATACACCTTTAAGATCATTCTAAGGCCTTAAATATTGGAGTGTGATGCTGTAACACACTTGTACCAATGTGAACCCTGATGCAGTGTTTTCCCGCAGGCTTGAACGCATCGCGAAGTGTCAGGTGTAACGACAAAACACAGCTGCTTTTGTTGGAAATGTAATGGTGCATGAAAACGTGTGCAATGAGACTGAACCAAAAACTTGTTCAGGAATTTAATCTCCTCTTTTCTATTCGCTGCTGAAAACTAAAATCTGTGAATTGAAACAGCTTGAATTTAAAGGTGTATTATGTAACTTTTCTGTTGGAGTGTCTGCCAAATGCTTTTCTCCATGAAAATGTTATTGCTTTATCTGGAATGTTTCACAGACTGGCATTAAACTTTTCTGTCTTCATGGTGATTAGACCAAGTTATAGGTCGGATCTGTGGAGAGGTGCCCCGGCTCACAGTCAGGATGCTTGCTTTTCTCTGTATTTTTGAGCTATAGAGCTGTTTAATGCCATACTGTGGAACATTTCAGACAGAAAAATTAAAAATATCCAGAGAAAGAAGCAGATAACGGACCCTCCACCAGAAAAGTTACACAATACCTTTAAAGTGAATTCAGGCTTCAGGCAAATTCTGTTTGGTGTAGAATTTTAAAGGTGCATTATGTAACATTATCTGCCTCTTGTCTCTATAGCGATGTTATAGCTTTGCCTTGAATATTTAATCAAATCACAGTTTGATTTATTTCCCTGAAAATATCATTCATTCTGTGAGCGGGCTTGCCTCTCCATGGATGTGACCTGTGACATGGCCTGGTAAGACGCCACACACGTTCAATGCCATGTGGAATATTTCAGGAAAAACAATAGCGTCTCCATGGAGGCAAAAGGGTCGCGAACCGTACACCAAAAATGTTACACAGTGTGGCTCCATCACTTTTAAAACAAAAATAACTCAAAAATAAAATGCAAATCCCTGAACATTTTATTCTCTCGGTTTCCATGGGGATGTATTGAATTATGCCAACCCTCTACCAACAGGCTTCCGTTTTCTCTCAAATATGCCTGAACTTGTTGCATATCCCAAGTTTTATTTACAATATTAGTCAGCGAAATTGCAATTACATTTTTCTCACTCTCCTTCAGCCCTGCAGCAAAACGTGACAATGTCTAACTCCGGCTCCACCTTGCAGCGAAACGCACAAAAGCGAAGAAGTGTTTGTAGTTTGGGGAGTGCCACTTGCATTAGAACATCTGTATCTCTTTGTTAGTCAGCTAATGATTTGTAAACCTTTCCACAAGTACAGACAAGAAGTGCCTTTGTTGTCATCAGAGTAATTTTCCTTTGCCATTCATGCTACGTTTGTACTAGTCAATAGAAAGCCTCATAATGATGCATTGACTTCTTTGACAACTTTAATACTGGTTTTGACTTTTTTGTGAGATTTAGATGGAGGATCATAAAGAGTTTTAGTTATTTTATAATAATTTTTGGGTTTTGAGAATTTAAAAGTCGTAGATGACATTTTAGGTAAATATTAAAGGTGCACTCCTTAACTTTTCATCTAGAGGAATTGCCTCGTGATTGTCTTCATAGAAATTTTATTGCTTTGTCTAAAATGTTCCACAATAGAGATTAAAACTATTTATCATGTGGGAGACAACTATAGGCTGTATTAGAGGTCAGATCTATGGAGAGTCGCCCCTATTCACAGAGAGAATTATTGTATTTTTGAGCAATCGAAGCGCCTGTAATGAATACATGTAAAATAGATGTGTTTAATGTCATGTCATGGAATTTTCCAGGCAAAGCAATAACATCGCCATGGAGACAAGCAGGTGATGGACCCTCCCCCAGAGTTCAGTACCATTAAAAATCCAAAATGCAAATGTTTATAGGTCCTATATTGCACAAAATTGGCTTTTGTGAGCTTTTAGCCATGTTAATGTTGTTACGTCCTCAGAAACATACCTGTAGTTGTGTTTTGTTTCATTCACACGTGTTTGAGTAACCTGTTATTATTCCATCTGTCTATATCATAAAGTTCAAAATGCTCTGTTCTATCTTGTGATGTCATGAAGTGGTAGTTTTCAAGTTAAACAGCTTTTTACTTTTAGTTCTGGCAATTCTAGGTTTGAAATTACCCACATGATTCTAGTGAAGGTGTATGGAGTTTAAACACAGTGGAGCACTTCCTGTATTACCACATGACATTACAAGGAGGAGTGTTTTCTGTTTGAGAGAAGCACTTAGCCTAATTATGCAGGGTTTGTGAGATGAATGTGTGAATGAAACAAAACTCAACTCAAAAAATATGCAGAATTGTCCTTTTGGTGCTCTTCAGTGCAGGGACCAGTCTCAAATACAAAGTAGAAAAAACGGAGGCACTCAAAAAGTACAAAATAATGAAAAGCCTTTAATACCACATGGCGGATAAAGTCAAAATCACGCCAACGGCCCTGATGAAGGCTGTTCTGCTCCTATGGCTGCAGTTTAGCTTGAATTCACCAGTGGATCAGAGCAATCAGAGGTCAGCCAAAACAAACACAACAAGAAACGTAGGAATCTAATAGGAGTCGAGTAGGTGTTTTTTGTTTTTTGTTTTTTTGTCTATTACTGTCTTCTATATTATGTCTGTGCTAAGTTTAGATGTGCTTGCTCGTCTGTTGTGATAATGAGAATTTAATGGCTGAATTGAACTGTTCAACCATGAATACATAGGTTTTTTGGGAAATGTTTGTGCCAAAATTACCCAAAAAACCTACATAAAAAATTACTAGGTCCAGTAAATAATGCTATTAAAACACCACATACATGGCTTAGTAGCAAAGTGGATTCAGTGTTCTGCTTTCCTCAGTGTTTAGTTCCCCTTCCATCCATCTGAAATTATTATTATATTTTCCACTTTCATCTTAAGTGTTTAACAGGAACTTAACCAAACAAGACCGTGTAAATAAAGGACATCTTGAGTACTTTTCCTCTGCTCATTTCTCAACTCTTTTCTTTCTCCTTCAGCTGTGACCCAGACCCCGAGGACTGATCAGGAGGTGATCCGTGAGGCAGTGACGGATGGCTTCATTGTGGACCAGGGACTCCTCACCTCCCTGACCACACAGGCTCCCCAGAACACGACCAGAATCCCAGAACTCTTTGAGGAGGGCAGCGCCATGGGAGAGCCTTTGGACGACGGTCCCGAGGAAGAGTTACCAGTGACAATGACATCCCAACCCACCACTACATCAGAACCCTTGTCAAGCACCTCTGCCCTGTCTGATCCGAGCTCCACCCCCATGGTAACTTCTGACACAGCTTTGTTAAATTCGTTTTTTGGTTAATTAAGTTAATTCCATAGCTGTTATCTCACAACCATAATGTTAACAAGAGCCAATCAATCACAATCTGCCACTTAAAACTATGATAATTATTTACCTCAGATAATATCTAAGCAAACCAAGTAATAAAATACGAAAACCTGTCATATGCACTTTAATATTACCTTTACCAAACAATAAGGGGAGTTTAGGGATAAAATTTATAATAAACCTTAAAGGAGACATATTTTGTAAAGATGAAATGTTCAAGCTTTTAGACATGTTATAATGATATTTCCACATTATTAGTAATTGTATTTTGACAGATTCTTGCATGTTTGATTAATCCAATATTGACCTGCATTTGGGTCATGCTTGCTCAGAAGATTTTTCAACAATTGTCATGTAACTATTTTTGTACAATGAACAGATAGTAAAATAAAGGTGTACATATGTTATAGTTGAATACTAAATCACCAAAAAGCACAATATGTCTCCATTCTAATCAAAGTGCATTGTTGTCATGCAGCAAAGTGACATGTCACTCGAAGACTCAACACTGATAGAATCAAGTGGAGATCAAATGCTGATGACCACTCCAGATGATCTCCTCAGCACCATGAGCGAACAGGGCTCTGGAGAACCAGCCACCTCACAGTCAATCAGACCGGAAGGGAGAATGTTAATAAGTAAGTTCTGTTTTTGAGAAATATGGCGGGGGGGTTCAGACCTGCTCTGAACCAGAGCAGGTCAGAATTCCACTGTTTAACTGTCACATGGCAGATTTGTTGACCTGGTTTCATTGCCTATCACCTGGCTTCACTGAACATATTCACATGAAATAAAAAAACAGGCACAAAGTTCAACATCTTCTCTATTAACACAAATAGAAAAAAATAAGTATTTATTCACAATAGCTTCAGAAAGTGGTGCCATTATTCAGCTCCAAAAATATGATATTTGTCAGTTGAAAGGAGTTCAAACCACAAAATTAATGTCATAAATTTGTGGAGTGTAAAATAATGGCAATGTTCAATCTTCATGGAATTTAATTTGGAATAGTTCTATCAAAAAAGTTAATCTCCTATAAAAGTACATGGGCTGCTTAATCATTGATTGAACATCTTGCCAGTGGATATGCCCAGTAATACTGATATTAAAGGTCCTTTGTTACATAACATTGACTCTTGCAACCTTTAAGCCATGTTACAATGTTGTTACCTCATTGAAAATGCACCTGGATTTGGGTTTTGTTCCATTCATATTCATTTTAGAAACCCTTTATTATATTAGTCTGTCTACACCCCCAAAGCTCAAAATGCTCTGTTCCACCTCATGGTGTCACAAAGCGATAGATTTCGAGCCAAACAGCTATCTCTTACCTTTAACTCAGTAGAGATTGGCAATTCCAAGGCTGAAATCATACAGCTGATTCAAGTGAAAGTGTATGGAGTTGAAAAACACTGTGGAGCACTTCCTGTATTACCACATGACAGCACAAGGAGGAACAGGTGTTTTCATTTGAGAAAAGAACTACATACTTAAGGTTTATGTTTTAAATATGCGTGAATGAAACAAAACACAGCTCCAGATATGTTTGTGATGAAGAAACAATATTACAACATAAATCAGAAAATAATGCAATGGGCCCTTTAACCATAAACCAGGCCAAAACATTTGCAGTCTGACAGCAAATTGGACTATGATCTCTGAATTGTAGGAATTAGAGGAGGAAATGCAGTCTTCTGGTTACATTTTTGTTTCATTACTTTCATTGATGCCATTATGAAGCTAATGATAACTTTACTTTTTTGTTGTTCAGATATTCAAACTGAAGATAAACCAGGTGAGTTTCTTTTGTACCACATGGACATAAAATAAAGTTATATTTTTTCACTTTTTGTCAATACATCTGTGTTCTTACCTGTGAATCCTGTCTGTGCAGTTGTTGTGCTGAGTCCTCAGTCACAGGGGACGGTAACAGAGATGCCAAAAGGACATGTCACACCAGGTAAGAACTGTGGACAACATGTACTGTAGTCAGAGGTGGTAGAGTAGTCAATAGTTGTACTCAAGAAAGGGTAATGTTACTTCAAAATAATATTTCTCAAGTAGAAGCACTAACTTAATAGCCTGATTATAGCCGGTTTCACTTCATGGAAACCATCTGACCTCGCAGCATTAGAATTAGTTGACTCAACGGTAGGCGGGTACTTTTTTATTTAACCAATCGCTGCTGTTTGGTCATGATGTGACGTAACAGGGTTAAGTGGTATATTAAGTTTTTCCCAAATCCCGTGGGAAGAAGGGCAATAATGTCTTTTCCCTTGATAAAATTCACCAAACATTCTCTTTGTTACGGCTTTAAATCCTCGATCTTGGGAATCGTTGCCAAAACAGAATGTATGGCTCTTCGCTGATTGGCTTATGCGTGGACTCGTACTGCCAGGGTACTTGCAAACCGTCTAGTGTATTTTCCAAGTTCTGACCTAGTCGCTGGAGAGAAATGAAATTGAGTGGAGGCAGTAGGTGGCGCCAGCCTGGCTACCAACTTTGAAAGCGCTTCAGAAAATATTTTTTTGTTCTGGGTCTGAGTACATTGTTTCATTTCTGTGTATGTTTTATACTGAAATGGCAAATATATTCTGATTCTAATTCTGAAGTACAAAGTAGTGGTCCAGGAAATTATTCAAATATTTAGGAAAGCTACTATTCAAGTAAAAGTAAATTAAAGAGTAACTGCCAGGACGTCACATCTGATTTTTAATTTGAAGTTGATGTAAATGGAAGGACAAAACTTTTAATGATGCACAAAATCTGATAGTTTCAAAAGATGGACACCAAAATGAGAAAAACAAATTATATCTGAAAGAGCGGTGTGAGAAATACAAATATTCAAATCATTTCATATAGTCAACATAAAACTTTTGACACTTGTAAACTTACACACAGTAGGAAGAATAAGCAAAACTTTTGTTCAAGTAAGAGTTCTGTAACTTTGAAAATATTACTCAAGTTGGAGTAAAAGTATGCTTCTCTGAAAAGTATAGTTTCTTTAAAAGTTACTAAAGTTAATGTAACTGAGTACCACCCACCTCTGACTGTAGTGCAAGTAATACAATTAAAATGTTGTAAGTTAAGACTTGATTTGAGATTTGATTTGATAAGTTACAAAAAATTTTATATTTGGAAAAATGTTGGAATATCCTAGAATTAAACATGGTTCTTAAAATACTTTTGTACTTATTGTTTGTGTCTGCACTTTCAGACTGGATCATCATTGTCGGCTTCCTGGTTGGTATGGCTGCGCTGGTGCTGGTTTGTGTCGCTATAGCAACCAGAGATAGGTAAGACTTATACGCCTATAAAATTGAAAACAATGTATGCATGTGTGAACAAGTAAAAACACAGATTCTTTATGCTGTAGATGGAACGGCCCAAACCAGTTCAACAGCACAGGCGTGACCCTTACACCAGCTAACCAGCAGAGTGAGCTAGAGATGGAGGAGTTCCTGCACAAAAAGCACCCCAGGGAGAATGGCAAAGCAGACGAGTATACTGTCATCCCATTGGACGAGCTACCAGACAGTTATTCATCATAGAATCAGGATGGGATGAAAAATGACCAATCAGAACCCACCATACACAGATCGGAGCTGTACCCACCAATCAGCGGCCAGGATCGGCGAAGTAGGCGGGTCCGTATGATTTGGGTTTTGTGAACCTTCAGTCTGCTGCTGACCACTATACACTGATGCCACTTATTTCAAAACTTGTTGTTGTACTTTTGTCTTTTAAATATGTGTGTTGTTTTGTATTTTTTGTGATAACTTAAATTAAACTTTTTTTTCCACTTAATTTGACTTGGAGGATCCTTTGGACACTTTAGCTTTGGTATTTCACATTTTATAACTTCAGTTGTAATTCTAACACTTAAATGTTTTGTAAGAAGGATTGTGCACAAATGTTGCCCAAAATGTTATGGCATTCCTTAGTTTTTGGGTAGTATATAACCCATCAAAAATGTGCACACACTTTCAATTAATTTTGCTTTTCAGCATTTTTAAATTGTAGAATTTCACTTCAAAATAGCCTCCTATTGTTTGGATCACTGCTTTGTCCACTCTTGGCATTAATGGACCCTGACAAAGCACACATGTGAAGTGAACACATGTGACTATTTCGTTTAGACAAGACACAGGGTTTGCAGTGCTGTCAACAAAGAAAAGGTTGGCTACTTTATTTATTTCATGTTTTTATTTGATATAATTTCATACATATGGCTTCAGATTTATGAGGTCTGCAGTATGTATCTACAAGAAAGTAGAAAACATGAAACTAAATATTGAGTGTATATTTTAGTGGTTTACTGTAGAAGAATAGTTAACCTGTCTGAGTACCCTGCCAGGAGCAGTGAGGGGGTTTCCCACTGTGTTCATGAATACCATAGCAGGGGCATCAGCTTGCACTGTTAGGCTGGCCAACAACCAGGAGACCCAGTAGACTCAGGGAGACTCAAGGAGAGCCCACACACTCAGGGAGAGCTGGCAGACTCTGACAGACTCATGGAGAACCCACAGACTCAGGGAGTGCCTATAGACTCAGGGAGAACCCACAGGCTCAGGGAGATTCAGGGAGAGCCCACAGACTCAGGGAGATTCAGGGAGAGCCCACAGACTCAGGGAACAGACTCAGGGAGACTCAAGAGACCTCAGAGAGGCCCTCTCAGAGACTTGTCCAAACTGCATATAATGATGCAGAGTGTGGGTCAGAGCAGGACACCAGTCAGCACATGCACTCTGCTCACTCACTGACTGCAGCACATCCACACTGCAGCTGCACCTGTGCTTTCATTCAGAAGCATCGCACAAGCTGAAATGTGGTGGAAAATTTAACGAGATACAAAGTACTAAAGAGGGTCTTAAACCTCTTCAGCTGACCCAGACCTGGGACTGACCCTGTCCTAAAAAATATCAAGAGTTAAAATGCTAATGTAAAGTTTATAACACTGAGAAATAGCACACACAAGACATTGTCATTCAAGTCAATAATAGCACCTCTGCAAACCATCAATGGACAGACCTGGGAGCTGACAGCAGCTAAGGATTCTTCAGATGTTAAAAATATGTAACTAGCTTCATCATTCAATTACTACAGTAAACAAGTTATGAATATAATATAAGACAGGAGAAAGAGTACTGCCACTAAATCTGCATTTAAAGTTTGTAATGTGCACACACATTATTCTAGTCTTCATCCTGACATTGCGAGAGAGGGCCAGTGCCTTGGCAGAGGCCTGTAGTGTAAGTTTGTGCTATTGTGCTTTAGCATGTGCTGCCTGTAGACACTCTGTCAAGATTAGCAGGCTCAGAACAGATTAGCTAATTATAGCCTCCTGCTGTCTCTGTGCGCACTGTGCTCAGGTGGAGATGCATGAGGGGGTGGGGCTTAGATGTGAAGGGGTGGGGCTTAGGCTTGTATGTTGTGCCATGTGCTCCTGAGTCTGAGCGCTGATACTGTTACAGCACTAAACAGATTGTGAAAAGGGTGATTATTTGTGATCATCAACCAGATGTGTAAGTCCAAGAAGACTTTTGGATTGGATCTGAAGCCCTTCCCTGTAACATCATCACCTGACTGAATGTAAACATCACAATGTCTCTTTGTCAGCTGTTGATTTTGTCATAAGATCGTTGTACTCTAGAGATTATTGAGCTCAGACAAACCCCATACAGAAAATGAATCAACAACAATAACAAAAAACATCATACATTTTCCCCATAATAGTTGCATACAATATGCAAATGTGTAAAGAGAATCCAAGAAAGTACAGATATATCATCCGTATATCAAATTTACATTTTGGGAAAGTGTTGGTATAGCATCCACTATTGGCCTATCATCCACACTACTCTGCATTGTGTGCACATAAAACAAACAATACATGAACACAACACAGGTGAAAAGTTATTAAAAACAGTCCTAGTCTGTTCACTCTGTTTTAAAATGGGGCTGTTGGATAAAAAGAAAATATCTCATGAAGATTCAAGATTCAGTCACATGGATTTTCCCCACAATTCATGTTAGAGTATTAAACTAAAAAAACAAAAAAACATAAAAACATCCATATCAAAATACAGTAAACTAGTTATAACAACCTGTAACATCCTGTGGGTCATGTGACCAAAACATAATGCACCATGCAACAATGCAGTGGCATGTAACCCAGACATGGAGCACAGTGTAATCTTTACACTGTAAAACTGTAAACTAGTTATAACATGTCATCTGATTGTAACACAATGTGTAACAATCTCTTACTATGTAGCAACCATATGAAAGCAAAAAAGAAGCACCATACATGTATGCAAATTTTGAGACATCCAGGAATAAGATATTATAAGCAAGTTAAAACATAAACATGTAAGTCCAGTTGTTTTCGTTTTATCTTGCTTATAAAGGCAAAATTCAGAAAATGAGTCAGCATGCATCTCACTCCCCTTTCCACAGTTTGACAATCAAGTCCCTGCTTTAAGAACAATGTACTTACAGGTTATTACATATTATAATATATTATATATTTTCCAGTGCTCCAGTTGGGCTCCCTCCAGCCAAGTTGTGTTTCCATGGATTCATGTCCTCTGTGTGACATCACTGGTTCACCTAGCAAACATAACTCATGTTAAATAAAAGTCTAAAACATACCTGAATTATGCTCTTAATCACATAGGCAATTTCAGCAATTCACAAAAAAAGTTTAGTAATTCCAATTTCATGCCATTGTGAGATATGCTAGGGTAAACACTTAACTACTTTTTATTTTTCTGCATTTATTTCACTTCTATGGCACCATATCTGCACCATGTTTTATTTATGTAGTGCACTGGGTTTGGCTAATGTTCAATGTTTTATGCACTGAAAATGTAATATTGTTGTTTTGTTTTGCCCTGACTCTGAGTTCTCTCTTGTCCAAACATGTTGTTTGTTTTATCCATACCTTGACTAAAGTGATCCAGGGGCTATATTGGCCTAGACTCTTCCGAGAGCTAGGACCCCTCAAGATCTGCTCTGCTTCCAACCCCTTGAATGGGTAGGTACAGTTCACTTTAGAAACTGTAGACCCTTGAGGACCATATCGATCTGCTCCAGGATGAACCCTAACCATGTAAACAGTCTATTGTGTTACACTGTACTTAAAAAAAAAAATTGTAATAACTGTAAGTGTAGTATCAAATCTGTCACTCTCAAACTCTAGCATCATGCAGCTGGGGTGAGACCGGTGAGCGTTAATGAAATTACTCTTCTCCTCAAAAGTAAACACAGAAGAAGAGTGAAGCGTTAGGATTTGGACACCTACTAATCTTAGCTGTGACTCCGCCTCTCTGTCTGCAACTCTGTACTGAGCGCGTTCACTTCACCTCTACACACCTGCTTGGCTCCAGACCTGTGTGTGGACCTATGTGAAGGAGCTGTGGCTGGAGATCTGAAGGACAGGAGCTGAAGACTGCTTTGAGGAAATACTGTTGTTGTTTTAGGAAGATCTTGATGGATTTATAAATGCCAACACCGTAACTTTGTTCCACCTTCAGCTTCAGAGATGGATTTCAACCCAAACTTCCTCCGGCCAGAGCAACATACAAACGGGTGAGTATCATCAGCCTCCTGTGGCTCAGAGGGATCTTGTTGGTAAAAATCTTTTTTTTTTTTTTTTTTTTCCAGAATTTAAAGTTTCTATAATGTAGTGTTTGACAGCATAGCTTCTTTAATGTGTAAAATGTGTATGTACGTAGGGTAATGTTTGTCTGTTTAACCTGAGGTGTTTGACCAGTGTCCAGGTGAGTTGAGTGGACTTTGATACATCGTCTCTTTTTGCATTCTTGTGGTCAGAGGTCAGGTAGCAGAGGGTGACACCTTGACTTTCCCAGGAAGCCCCTTTTCTCTTACATAACTCAATCACTTGTGCTGGAAGCTAACTTTAGCCACTGTAAAGGGCTTAGGGACATTAATGCGCTGCAGTGATTCACATAGACATGAGCTGGGCCAGCAACATCACAGTGTCACTGCGCTAAGTGCTATCAAGAGAATATACTTCTGTTTTATTCACATTTCATGATGTGATCAACAGATCTGATGTTTTTTTGTATATATGTATATATATATATATATATATATAAAAAAAATGTGTTTCTCACCTTCCACGGTGGTAGGTCTCTCTCTCTCTCTCTCTCTCTCTCTCTCTCTCTCTCTCTCTCTCTCTCTCTCTCTCTCTCTCTCTCTCTCTCTCTCTCTCTCTCTCTATCTATATATATATATATATATATATATATATATATATATATATATATATATATATATATAAAGTATTATACACATAACAAGTTAATAATCACAAAGAATCACAAGGAACAAAAGCTCTGCACAAAACACCTCATAGTTGTGATTTCATCAGAGGAACAATTGCTCATGATAGATAATGGCTGTAGTTGTATGATATTAGCTTGGTCATCTCCAGGTGTTGAAAGATTTAGCAAAGACATGTTACATAAGTTCTTCTGAGACTTAAGCTCTAAGTCTGAGAGGCTTTGGAGCAGACCACAACAAGCTTTTACTGAAGAGTCAGTACTCATTGACTAAACCTGAACATCCCTCAGCCAGCTCGGGCCAAGGGGAAAAAAAACAGGAGACAACCAAGTCCATTTTATATTGTCCCCAGCTCCACACTCCCTCCATCATTATACCTTCCTCCATCTGACTTGAATTTTAATGTGTCCATTTGCTTGATCACAGACAATGCACAAAAGACATTCACCTTGTAGAAAAGATCTCATGTATCCCCTGGGCCTGTTATAGATATCTTGCTTCCCTGATCTGACTGACTTCAAAACATTAGAGAGCTTTGAAAATTCTTCACAGCTGATGGACGTTTTCTTCATTTGTGGCAATGCACTTGTTTTCAGCACCAGATCAGCAGAGATGCATGGTGCTTAGCTTACATTAAGTATTAGTTAGCGATTTGGCCAGCCACTAGGTTGGCGATTCCATCCATCTTGCTCCTGGCATTGTTTATTGTTGTTGAGCAAGGTACTTTACCCACTTAGTTAGTGTTACTGCTGGATTGATTTTAGTCTGTTCTCAAAAATGTAGCTCACACAAATACTGACAAATGAGTACACTTCACAGAAAAACATGGACAAAGTGATAAAATGATGATAAAGCAGCCATCATGTATCTGCAGCACATGGTTCAGACATATCAGATGGTTTACATGGTCCAGACGGACACTCACTGCTTTCCTTCATTTATAAAATCAAATATATGAATAGTCCAGCAGGATGCAGAGGAGTGTCATTAGCTATTGTTGAATGGACAGTGAAGAAAACATGGACATGTAACATTCCTCACAGACTCTGCTGCTGGTATTGATACTTTGCAGTGACATCACGCTTAGGGGTTCTACATGTATCTATCCATATATATGTATAATGTTCAGCAGTTATCATGGAAATCAAGAAAAAATACAAAATGGATTTAAAGATCACATTTTTAGTAGCCTCCATACAAGCGTTCCTGGTTGGATATTAAAAAAATAAATAAATAAAAAAAGTGAGAATGACTAACTGAAACACTGCTGGCTGATACTAGATAGCTCAATGTGGCTATAATTTATGTATAAGAGACTTGTTTAACAGCACAAATCAGCTCACTTGTACTTCAAGCTAAGTCAATTCTTTATCAGGTTGTGTTAAAAAAAAAAAAAAAAAAAAAGCTCAAATTAAAGTTTAACTTGAGTAACAGAGCTTCAGACAGAGCAGTGTCTATAGTTAGCTTGACACCCCCAGATCTGACATCAGCTGCCAAGTATCAGTATTGAAGAGTAGGGTTTACCTTTGACCTCACAGAAAGGTCTCTGTATGAAGAGTTAGTCAAACTTACTGTTGAGCTCAGAGCAGGGTCAGTGCAGGGGTCTGTGCAGGTGCAGGTTTAGCTGGGTTTCTTTTGTTTGTGGAATGTCCCTCTCACACTGCAGAGCTGTGCTTTTCAAAACAGTATGAGTGGGTTCACAGTGGTTCCACGTCCCATGAGCCTCATGTGTAATCTGCTGTCTTTGCTCAAACAGCATGCAGAAGCAGGTGGAGGTGCGAATGGATGAGAGCCACATCGAGCCCCCAGGAGAGGCCCCCAAGGGCCTGTGCAGCACCGTGTGTGATAAAGTCATGAAGAACATGGTGCTGACCCTCACCATCCTGGGTAAGAGCCCTCTCTCTGCCACACTCATTCTCCTTTTCTCTTCTGTGGGGACTGGGCTGGATATTCACAGTAATACACAGGATGATACATACTAGTACATATGTATATATTGAAAACATGACGGTTTTACACGATTTTGAAGTGTGAACGATATGGCCGCATGACAGAAGCCAAATGCATTCCCATGCTGTTGTGTTGTAAATGCAGTAGCACATGACCAGGATCATTCATGTAAAGTAAAACCTTGTGAGTTTGGAGTATATTCTTCTGTGAAACAGTGTCTCTGCTGTCCTCTTCTCCTCAGGTGTGTTCCTGGGCTCTATCTCAGGCATGCTCCTGCGACACATCTCTCCACTGCCAGCAGATGTAGTCATGATCATCGGGTTCCCTGGAGAGATCCTCATGAGGATGCTCAAGATGTTAATCCTCCCACTCATCGTCTCCAGTCTGGTCACAGGTCGTCACTGCAATTTATTCACTTTAACCATTTACATGTTTTTATGTGCATTCTTTGATTTATTATTTTTTTCTAAACCAAAATATCCCATGTTTTGTGTGAGACTAGTCCACTGCTCGTCCTGCTGCACTCTGAATGCCTCTCACTCTGCAGGTCTGGCTGGGTTAGATGCCAAGTCCAGTGGGCGTCTGGGCACCAGAGCCATGGTGTACTACATGACCACCACAGTGATCGCAGCTGTCCTGGGGGTAGTCCTGGTGCTGCTTATCCACCCAGGGAACCCCAAGCTGAGGGCCAACCTGGGCCAGGGCAAGAAAAATGACGATGTGTCCAGCCTGGATGCCCTCTTTGACCTCATCCGCAACCTGTTCCCCGAGAATCTGGTGCAGGCCTGTTTTCAACAGGTAACGCTCTGTCCACAACTGCTCCTATATGTCATGCAGCATCAGAGCTGAGGTCACAGTATCACAATGTGTGATTATTATGAAATTATTATAATCTACTTCTATCAGTGACTATCATTATGAGATAGCTTTTCTACTGGAACATGTTTTTCAGTGCAATTAACGCAACCAATTTGAAAAAAAAAAAAGCTTGCAGTCTATTTTTTGGCTAAAAATGATAGCATTCTGCCTCACTTATTGCTGCCAATTTGTGTATCAGTACAGTTGTCCTTGATCAGTCAGGTACATTGTTACCATCAAAATTACATTCTGGTCAAGGTATTTTCTGAAAAGTGTGACCACAGACCACAGTGAGATGATTAGAAAAGAGACATGCATGGTAACATGTATGTTTTTTCTTTGTGAACAGATTCAGACAGTAACCACTAAAGTCCAGGTGCCCACCAATAGAACCAGAGCACCCCCACAGTTCACAGTCAAGAGGTCACTACAGTTCAAAGGTGGCATGAATGTGCTGGGTAAGTTCAACAGTTTCTGTTCATGAAATCAGTCATAAATACATTTAAATCAACCTAGACTTACTAGGTAAATAAATAAAGGTAAACAAGTTCAGAGCAGCCGTAATCTACAATGGCGCTCTGACTAGCCTTCTCCTGCAGTACTGTGCCTTTGAGCTTTATTGAGCTTTGTTCTGTGGTCCACAGGCCTGATCGGATTCTTTGTCTCCTTTGGCGTCATCATGGGAAAGATGGGAGAACGAGCCCGACTCATGTTGGACTTTTTCAACGTGCTCAATGAAATTGTCATGAAGCTTGTTAGCGCAATCATGTGGTAAGTGCATTTGTTAGTCCATTCTTTAAAACATCTGAACATCAAATGTTGTTTATAAAACAGCAGGCATAAAGCATCACATCATTATCCTGTTGTGTGTCCCACCAACAGCAGTATGCAGATGTGACTGGCTGTTGAACATTCTGTTTTGTGTTTGCTGTGTGCAGGTACTCTCCTGTAGGTATCGCCTGTCTGATCTGTGGGAAGATCATCTCCATCGCAGACCTGGAGGTGGTAGCGCGCCAGCTGGGCATGTACATGGTCACTGTCATTGTGGGCCTCATCATCCACGGAGGCATCTTCCTGCCCCTCATATACTTTGTCATCGTCAGGAAGAACCCCTTTAAGTTTTTTATGGGCATGTTCCAGGCCTGGGTCACAGCCCTGGGCACGGCCTCCAGGTACAGCTGTGCCTCACTCTCTGTCACACTCTCTGCTCAGGCACATCCAACAGTTCAGCTCAGGGACTATAAGGCCCTTCACACAGGCTCAGCCTTATGCAAAGGTCTATCAAATGTTCAGTCAACTGGAATCATCACACCTATTTATTATTCCCATCAATATCACGAGTGCAGTACCTCTAAATGCACAGGCAAGAACAGGAAGTCTATTTTACTATATTGTGGCTTGTTATTATTGCTGGAAAATGTAATATAAAGTTTAGCAAAGGAGAAATTCAGTTCTGTCAACTGGACATTTTTATTTATTTATTTATTTATTTATTTATTCATTTATTTATTTATTTATTTATTTATTTGATCATTGCTGCTCATTCAAACTGCTTCTTCAGTTCTGAAGAACTTCTGTCGTGTTGACAGAATGAATTTCTCCTTTGGTATGGATCCTTCCTGGACGACTGTGGGATTTTATAAACAATATAAAGTTCAATCACTAGCTCACGGTTGGTTCTGATGAGTTTATTCTGTGCTCAGCGCTGGCACGCTGCCGGTCACATTCCGCTGTCTGGAGGAAAACCTGGGGATCGACAAGAGAGTGACACGCTTTGTTCTCCCTGTGGGTGCCACCATCAACATGGATGGCACGGCGCTATACGAGGCTGTGGCCGCCATCTTCATCGCTCAAATGAATGGCATCGACCTGGACTGGGGCCAGATCGGCACAGTCAGGTGAGAGCTCCACACAGGGTATACACATCTCTGACAATCTGATAATCTTCACAGAAAAGTACTGGTAGTTCAGTAAGTTCAGTCACATTTCAGGATAATAAAACATTAAAGAGGAGGTATCCTAGTTAAAGACATGAACCATTAGTATCAGTTTGTAAACAGACTGCCGACCAGGACTAGTCCCCCTCATGGAGAAGATATAATGATATATAAAGTTTGACATCCTACAAGACTATACTTCTGAGTTGGCTTTAGGTATGTCATAACGCCCCTGACTGTCTTCCCTGTTTTGCAGTGCGACTGCCACCCTAGCCAGTGTGGGAGCTGCCAGTATCCCCAGTGCAGGCCTGGTCACCATGCTGCTGATTCTGACAGCGGTCGGCCTACCCACTCAGGACATCAGCCTGCTGGTGGCGGTGGACTGGCTCCTGTAAGTGCTTCCATCACTGCTTAGCATCATTCATTTTGAAACACACATCATTGTCTCCTTTAGTCACTAACTATTGCTCTGCAGTATCATGTCATCAATCTGAATTTAGGATTAGACATGGTTCTTTTTTAAAGTGAATGCTGTTTATTGCTGGTAATAAACAGTTAAATGGAAATATAGAACCTGTAGATTTTAGTATTCCCATGTAGTTAAGAAAAAAAATCTAGCAGTTTTTTGTTTGTAGAATCACAAACTAAAACTGCTAGCATGTGCTCGCTTTGCTTTGTAAATGTAATTATAGAAAAAGCATGCAGTTATCTATAAATGCATACATTTTAATTATCCTAACTATTTTAATATTATTTTACCACATAGGCTACACAGGTCTGCCTTAAAGAAGTCTCATGGGCCTCACTCACATTCTATGAGCCTAACCGTGTGTTTGTAGTATTTGATTCTCATGTACTGTCCTTTGTTGTTTCACTTCCACAGTGATCGCTTCCGCACATCGGTGAATGTTATCGGGGACTCGTACGGCGCAGGAATCGTGTACCACCTATCCAAAGATGAGCTGGACACCTTTGACGCACAGCAGACGAGAATGGACGATTTTGAGATGGCCAAAACGCAGTCATACTTTGAAAACAACAGCAACCAGAACGTATATGCACACCACAACTCAATCCTAATAGATGATTGCAAGGTACACTTCACCCTCACTGACATAGAGACATGTATGTAGCACCGCCTGTGGTCACCCGTGTGTCCTGTCCAAAAGTGCAAACCCGTGTTTTCTATACCCGAAAAAGCAGTTTTTGTGAAACCATGCCAATGATTTGTGTTTTTTGTTTTTAATTATTTCACTGCATTGTCATGCTGTACATGGTACAATATCAATATGGTCTTTGTTGTAAGTGGGCATGTATTTTTTGGCAGCTCTGACCAAATTACAACCAATGGTGAACATAAAGACTGCTATTTCAACATGTGGCACATTTTGCTGTTTTAGTTTTTGTTCCTATAGTAAATGGAAATGTTCAGAATGAGACCGTTTTCATTTATCTCATTGCCTGGGATGCAACTTTACAACATGTTGCATGTATTGAATGGTCTTGTAATTCAGTTGGGCAGAGACTCCATAAAAATACATGGCCAAGTGTGGTTCTGGTTAAACCTCAGATGTCTGGTCTGTTGCACTGCTTAATGCTCCGTGCTCATATGCACATGGCTTTGGCCTCTCTGCCCAACCCTGCTCTGACCGTGCCTCAGTCCATAGTCAGCTGTGACACTGCTTACAGGTGGGCTACGGCACAAACGGTAAGACGGACTTCTCTTTCATCGAGGAGGGGCCCTGGAAATGTGAATAAAGGAGGTCTGGAGCTGCTGCGCCTTACCCTGAGTACCCTGAGTTCACCAACCCACTGAGTACATCCTCCTACAGTTTAAACACTGACCAAAGAACACGCACTACACCCAGACTGTTTCATGTGCTTCATGGACAATGGCTAGACAATCCAGGGCCTTATCAGTGTTGCTCAAGCTCCCTGTCCTCTGTAATCTGAGTGTGTTTGTGAGATTGAATGTGTGAGTGAGGAGTCTGAGGAGTGCAGATGTGTAAACAAGAGGACACAGGCCTGGTGCTGTGTTCATCTCAAATAAACAGCAGATACTTGTAGTTTTGGAAACAAGCCACTTGCTTGTGTGTCACCTCTGAGGGATTTCATCCTCCACACCACTGGACTGTGCCTCAGGTGAATGATGGTGTTTGTTCCCTGCACAACCACACAATGATGAGATGTTCACAGCAATGAATCTATTTCTGTTTACTTTCAGATGAAGTATTGAACCTGCAGAGCAGGGTACTTACCATTCAGTGGTTAGCTTTATAGTGCTTGAGGTGGTGATGAACATCTATTGTGTGTCGGTTAGTTGTGTGGAGGGGGTTACAGATGTGTTGTTTTTATTTCATGTTCATCTATACTGAGTACTGTTGCTAATGTCTGTGTACTTCATGGTGTCAGGCAGAATACAGTGTCCCCAGTGGCCGTAGGAGGCAGTGCAGGACCTTTCACTTGTGACTGTGGGACTTATGAGATTATAGCCAGAAGTCACACACATGGACAAGCCCTAAAGAGGCAGAGCTTAGCGCTTAGGGCCGTAAGAGGAGAGCCAATGGACTCTAAATATGGCACCACTCTGTACATTCTGTCTTGTTGGGGCAGTGGGAGGCGTGTAGGGGTCTGCTGCTGCATTATTACCAGTGTGTAAGCTCCTCTGGTGTGCATGTGTGTTTTGTGTGTATGGTGTAATACAGTTCTTTTTATATGTTACAGCCTTGCCTTGATTTTTAACTATATCCTAATGAGAGTGATATGCTCAGAACTGTCACTTTTTCACAAACACAGACTTCTAAAGCTTAAGATATAGGTTTCTTTTTCAATTTTCCAGTGTTCACCTGAAGTTATAACTCCAAGTTTAGCATTATAAACATCCATAAACTTTACCAAATGAAAGTTTTGTATTTAACAGAAGAACTGTGTATGTCTATATTGAAAGTGCCTCCTTGCACTTTGTGTACATAGACAAAAGAGGACATGTAGGAATAGGCGATGAGCAGCGCTCAAATGTGTATTACTCTCAGACATAATCTGTATTTTGGGGTGACTAGTGAAAGTAGCTTGTGAGCTTTTTCTATGTCAATGATTTTCTGTAGTATGGTCTCAAAGCAGCCCATTCTTTCTTGTGTATGTATTATATATCCATCAGCACAGAGTTACGACAAACTGGGCTCGACCTCAGACAATGCAAGAGAAGCACATGTTCACACTGAGGGAAACATCTCTATATGCAGGTTCCATGGTACTGTTGAATGTAAAACTTGTGCTTTTTTTTCATTTATAATAAAGAAAAGATTTAACTGATGTGAATGTTGTTTATGTTTACATACAATCAGGAAAAAGCATGTTTTTAAACCAGATGCATGTGCTGCTAACAGTACCTTTGATTCAGAGTGTGTTTACCTGGTGATTTTCTTTTGGATAGGAGTGTTTGTGATATACTATAAGTATCCTAACAATGCACATTATCACTGTCACTTTTCATAGTTATGACAGTATAAGAGTTGTTACAGGATCACATTTGTACTTGTTTAGGCGCAGTGACCTCAGTGTGAACATGTGTGATACTATACCTGGACAACTCAGCAGCACAGACACTGTAACCTACCTGCTTTAGGGTGAGCAAAACCCTAACTGTCCTTTTTTGCGTAGACCAGATTCTATGATTTTAGTATCCTCATGCATTATGGATGTTTTTCTATGTGAAATATAGAACAAACATTTTGTAACCTTCCTTTTGAACTGCATATGTTGTTCTTTAAATGCTTTAAATGGCTACAGGTCACCTGAACTGGCACATGGCAAATGCACTGGATATACTGTATTTCAACATTTGTATTTATTATTTATGTCAAATAAATGTTTATTGCTAATTTTGTTTTCAACTTTTTTCTCCAAAAAGTAAAGGAACAAAGTATATTTAATAAATCAATTGCTGTAATGCTGTAGTGTTGTTGGAGCAGCTAATTAGCAATGGTAAAAGTTTTTTTCCTTTAGTTCAGTAGAGACTGGCAAAAATGATTCTAGTGAAGGTGTGTGCAATTTAAAGACACAGTGGAGAATTTCCTGTGTTACCAGATGACATCACAAGGTGGAAGAGGGTGTTTTGTGTTTGAGGGAAGAAGCCTAAATATGCGTGTTTGTGTGTTAAACAAATGTGAACACAACTCCAAGTATGTTTGTGGTGAAGAAATAACTTTTTAACATAGATCTGACAATAGTGTAATATGGGCCATTTAAGGCCAGACTGTGGAACATTTTAGGCAAAGCAATAACACACAAGCAGCTGCCCCCCAACAGAAATGTTATGCAATGCACCATGATGACGATGATAGCATTGTTCATTAAAAAAAAATAAAAATCTAACAACTTGTGTGTTCATAATTTTAATGGCAATTAACTTCACCTCTTTAAATACAACTTCCACTTAAAACAATTCAAACAAAGTGTACAAACATAATTATAGTGTGGAATATTAAAATATATGTGCTATAACAAGCAGAGTCTCACTGAAGACTTCAAAAACACTGCACACAGGAAGTTAGAGGCATGGATAAATAACATACAATGCACCTACCTTTATATATCTGATAATAAGTAACAAGAATGACATATCACAGACATTAGCTGTGAAAAAATAAATACATTTACTGTAGAACTTGTAGATTACATAAATAGATTTAAATTTATGATAAATTATAAAAGTATTGATCTATGTAATTTAAAAAAACAAACATTAAAATAGCATAGTATGTATTTGGACCAGAATTTACAAATATAATTCTTAGATTACAGAAAATAAATAACTGATTCCACCAATTTGTCCTGACAAGTCAACATTTAAATGATGACCCAAGTTAACAGGTAGGTACAAAAGTGAGCCACAAATAGGATTTTGGTACAGTTGATTGGTGTGTTATATTCTTAATTTGAAAACATGTAATTGACAGTTACACTACGTTTTGAGTCTACTGCCTTATGTTTCCATTTCATTCATCAAGAACAGAATGCTCACTTTTCTGCCCTGTGTACAATACTGGCCTCAAAGCATCTGGACTTGATCCTTGGTGAGATTAGAAGAAAAAATTATAAACCATTAGTCTGAAACAACAGAAAACAGCACAGCAAACTGAGAGGATGTTTACCTAACTTTAAAAAGTGCATTAACCATAAAAACACTGGATTCACACACACTAAAGATATACATTTGAGCTGCAGTGCAGTCTTTGGCAGGGGCAGAGGAACTTGCAGGTGATCAGTATCAGAAGAACATATAGTTGTTCAATATCAGAAGAACTTGTCGGTAGTCCGTGATTGTCAGTAGAACTCAGTCAGTGTCAGTAGAATTAGCAGGTAGTCAGTATCAGTACATTTTACAAGTGACTAGTGAGGATCTTTAGAACAAGATTTATCAAAAGATCTTGCAGGTGTTCACATCAGCAGGTAGTCAGTTATTGGCCTTAAGGCTATCAGTATCAAAATAACTTGCAGGTAGTCAGTATGAGTGAACCTTTCAATTGACTAGTGAGGGTCATTAGAACGTTTTAGCTTTGTTACTATCAAAAGACCTTGCAGCTGCTAAGTAACAGTAGAACTTGCAGATAGTCAGTTATTGTCAGTAAAGTATCAGTATCTAAACAAGGTGTATGTAGTAAGTGTCAATAAATCTTGCCCGTATTAAGTGAGGGTCATTAGAATGTTTTAGTTATCATTATCAAAAGACCTTGAAGATGTTTGGTATCAGAAAAACTTGCAGGTTATCAGTATCAAAGAACTTGTAGGTAGTTAGTATCACTAAACCTTGCAGGTGTCCAGTGAGGGTCATTAGAACATTTTAGTTATCATAATCAGAAGACCTTGCTGGTATACAGTATCAGCAGAGCTTTCAGGTTAGCGGTATTAGAAGATCAGTGAAGGTCAGTGTTAGAAAAACCTGGAGATGATCAGAAGAACTTGCAGGTGATCTTTGGAACCTGCAAAGCCTTATTGGTAGTCCATATTGGATTAATCTGCAGAAGGTCAGTATCAGAAATACTTGCAGTTCTTGTTCAGTGTCTCTAGATCATGCAGGCAATCAGGGAGGGTCAATAGGGCTTACTGTCGTTCTTGGAGCGTTTGAGCTGCACTTTGAGTCTCTTCATACCAATCTGAAAGCCGTTCATGGACTGAATTGCTGCCTGCGACGATACTGGATTGTCATAGCTCACAAAACCTAAAGAATATGCACATAAGGGTTATGAACTTTGTCAAAATTAAATGTTTTACTTCTCTTTTCAGAATTCTGTCTTCTGTTTTTAAAAAAAAGTGAACACTGCTGTAAGCGAACTAACCAAAACACTTGCTGAGGTTGGTCTGCTTGTCAATGAAGACTTTGGCAGAAATGACATTTCCGAAGGGCATGAACATCTGCAGGAGGTCCTGGTCCCCAAACTCCTGAGGCAGGTGGTAGATGAACAGGTTGGCACCTTCTGGACCTGGCCAGAAGATGAAAATAAATCATAAAAGTTGACTGAAGCTGACAATTTTATAAATGGTGATTTTTTATATATAGAGCTTTTCCACCTTCAAGCACTTTTACATCAAGGAACAACTTGCTCATTCATACACACATTCATCCAAGTGTACTCAGACACTGCTGTGTTTTTAAACTCTATACACTTTTATTAGAATCATTTGGATAATTTAAACTTGGAATTGCCAATCTCTACTGAACAATAGTCCAGGTAGGATCTATAGCAAAGGGAAAATTCAATTCTGTCAACTGGACAAAGGTGAAGACGTTTCACCTCCCATCCAGTTTTAGTTGACAAAATTGAATGTTGCATTTGCTTCTGGACAAAAGGTAAAAGGTAGCTTGAAAACTTGAAAACTTTTGTTTCATGACACCATGGTCAAATAGATCATTTTGAATTTTGGATATGCAGACAGACTAAGGATTACTCAAATGTGTGAAGGAAACAAAACATAAATCCAGGTATGTTTCTGAAGAGGTAACAACATTCTAACGCTCACAAAGCTCACAAAAGTCAATTTTTCCCAATAAAAGACCTTGCAGGTATTCAGTATCAGAAGGATTTACAGATGATCACTGGAACCTGCAGGTGATCAGAGTTAGTAGACCATTATTGCAGTCTATATCAGATTGACCTGCAGGTGATAAGTATCAGAAGAACTTGTGTTGTTGTGTTCAGTGTCTCTAGGTAAGAACAATCTAACAATTGTGCGTAATTTAGGACCTTCCAAATATTTTATGAATTGACTCATAGGTTGCTGTATGTCACTCTAAGAGCTGCATTCATGCTGGAGAAACTTACTCACCCTCCTTCTGGCTGCCTGCGGCAGAGATGCTCTGCTGGGACAGGAGGCTCTGGTTGTAGAGGCTGGGCAGGGCAGCGGCTGCGTACTGCTGGATACCTGAGTATGCCTGGCTTAGGGCGTCCATGCTGCACCCTGGACCTCCAGACAAGCCTCCAGATAACCCTCCAGACAGTCCACTGGAGGAGAGGGAGCTGTTCAAGCCTGACATGCCTACACATGCATACAAAGAGATTTCAGCTTAGTTATGCCTACCAAACAATCATTGTTGACATAGACATATTAACAATTTTGTGCAGTCGACTAAATACTTTCTTGATTGATCAAAGACATGTCCTGAAGATTGATTAATCGATCAACTAAAAAGAAGGACTGGCAAAGATTCTCAAAACTGTTACATAATATGTATATTATGTCTTTGTGTCCAACCCAAACTGGACTCACAAGACTACAAAAGCAAAAACAACTATCTATACAGAAATAAAAATTGTAATGTATATATATACATTGTATTGTATATTGTATTGTATAATTAGGATTCAGAAGCAGGACCACGCCTCAACCTCCTACTGCTGCTGTCCAGGAAACCACAGTTTACCTTAAACACAGCTTAAATTAACCAGAAATGCTCTTTATACAAGTGTTTAGATAGAGACTATACCTAAGTCTCTGCCCAGCCACCACATCAATCCATATCATATCTTTGTTGTGGCCCGGTCTTTGCTAGTAAAAGATAGATTAAACTTGAGAGTTTAACCTTCCTTCTTACATATGAATACAAAAAAATAAAAATAAAAAATTTAAATCTTCAGCCAACTCACGCACTAGCTTCCCCTTTCAGCTGCTGTCCCATATAATCCTTACAATTATGATTTTAAACATTGATGTGTATTATTCCTGTGTTTAGCAGTAGACTACCTGTCAGGGAGCCCATGTTGAGGCCCACCCCAGAGCCTGCGGACAGAGACTGCAGGGCCCCCAACGACGTCATGGGGTTCACAGAGGAACTGCTGCTAGAGCTGGGAGAAGAACCTAGATGAACAGCAGCAAGAAGAATCATAATGACAGCAGAATATGCAAGTGCTGTATGTGGTAGGGATGGTGGTTGTGGTGGGTTACATGTGGAGTATGTTACGTGTGGTGGAGATGATAAAACAGTGTTACATGTGGTGGAGATAGTGAGAGGGTGTTATGTGTTACATTACTGTGGTGTGCAGGGTGCTGTTAGGTGTTACCTGTGGTGGACATGGACAGAGGGCTGCTGGAGCTTGTCATGGAGCTGGAGCTGGACTGTGAGACTTGTGTGGCACTTGCTGCTGCTGCTAAAGCTGCCAGGTTTTGGATGGCATTAAAACCTGCCAAAACACATGACACAAAACACATAATAAGTTATAATAGTAAAATGTGATCAGTTATTACTTATTTCAGATGTCATATATAATGTTCCAGTGAGACAGTGCCACAAATATGAGCTGAATATGTGTTTGTTTACCAGAGAAAGAGTGCATGTTGCTGAGGCCGTTAGAGGTGGAGGCTGACTGCTGCAGCAACTGTAAATACAACTGAACACAAATTATGTCATTAGTGGAAATTCTTTGGAAATACATGAAACATTAACACTGTGAACTAGTAACTGACTCCTAAAACATACTCACAGCTAAATACTGCGGGCCCATGCTGCTGAGGCCCGTGAGGTTTGACCACAGTGAGGCAGCACTGAGCTGCTGCATGTGCTGCTGCAGCTGCTGGGCCAGCCTCTTCTGCTCCTTGTCCTTCTGTGTGTCTGCAAACTTCACGACGATGGGCGAGGAGCAGCCCTGTACCACACACACACACACACACAACATCAGGAGCAGAAGATACAAATGGAGCTGTATTTGAGTCATATGTGGTGATGTAAATCCAGTTTCTGACTCATGGACAGTGCAGACATACTTCCATGGTCTGGGACTGGTGCATGGATTTGATGGCGGACTGGGCCATCTGTCGAGCTGTGAATGTGACAAAGGCACAACCTGGAAGACAAAAGACAAAAGACCTAAATTCTGTTATCATACAATAGCAACATAGCCTCATTTAAACTTCTATAACTGTAAGATGAACATGGGTTGAATCATTTTGTAGTACATTAACAGTTCAGATCATTTACATGTAAACTGTGCTATTTAATGACAGATTTATGCTCTGTTTATCATATAAGCCTTGGTATACAAATAGTGCTATGGAGGGTGCGTGTCAAGGGGACATGAGATTGGTGGGGTTAAAGGGTCCATGTTACTATGCATTTCATGATTTGTTATAACATTTCCTCATCAAAAACTTCTCTGGAGTTTTGTTTTGTTTCATTTTTTTCCACCTTGTGATGTCATGTGGTATCATAGGATGTACTCCACTGTGTTTTTAAAGCCCTGGTGATACTGCACTGTTGCACTGTCTTCCCATGACCTCTTATATAAAGCTGTGATTACCTCCGCCAAGGAGGTTATGTTTTTGCCGGCATTTGTCTGTTTGTTTGTTTGTTTGTTTGTCTGTTAGCAACATAACTCAAAAAGTTATGGAGCGATTTTGATGAAATTTTCAGGATTTGTTGGAAATGTGAAAAGGAAGAACTGATTTCATTTTGGGGGTGATCCGGAAGAAATCCTGGATTCTGGATCACTTTGAAATTTTAGTTAACATTGTGGTAAATGGGGCCAAAAATTTTGTTTCTCAATATCTCGGTTAATTATTGACCAAACCCCATGAAATTTGACTCAGGGATGGACAATGGGATCCTCTTTCATATTCCAAAGGCTGATCCGGATCTGATCCAGAAGACTGATTTTATCGCAATTTATATAAAAAATGGGGGTAGTCCTTGGCAGAGGTCTGCGCTCTCTGAGTGCTTTTCTAGTTTTATATTTTATTACTTATCTTTCGATTTTATTTTTATTTGTACATTTACATTTATATAATTATGTCTTATTTGACACCTGTCTCTTGCTATCTTTTGCTACTTACTTATAATTTATACCATTTATATTTTTTGCTTTTTGTTATTATATTTATTGTGACTTGTGAGCTACTGTGTCCAAATAATTTCCCTTGTGGATCAATAAAGTTTGTCTAAGTCTAAGTCTAAGTCTGAACTAAATACTACTAATACTTACACTAATACTACTAATACATTAAGGGGCAGTACTTGGTGTGAAAATGTGTGAACCAAGTTAGATGCTTCATTAGCAATTTCAGATGAGCTCATTCTCCAACAGCTCTGCTCAAACAGTGAGAGACACAGAACTACATTCATACCATACTCCATACAGCTGTACAACAACTCACTCTTGTGTAACAGATAATACTCCCTACAACTGTACAACAACTCACCCTTATGGAACAGATAACTCTCTGTTCTGTCAATCATATCAGTTTTGCACAGTTTTTCCTTATGACCTCTTGATATAACTGTGATATGCTGTATTTATATTACTATATTACTATATTTTACTTTTACATATACATTTATATAATTATGCCTTATTTGACACTAGTCTCTTGCTATTTTTGCTACTTATTTAGAATGTATTATTACCATTTATATTTTTGCTCTTTACTGTGATGTCTGAACTACTGCTTCCATATAATTTCCCTTGTGGATTAATAAATTTAGTTTCAGTCTAATTTCTAGATTTGAGCTTAGAGTATTTTACTGTACTGATTCTCACCCCGACTGAGTCCATCCGGGCCACGTAGGATCCGACACTCCTCGATCTGTCCATACGGAGAGAACATGAGCCGGATATCGTTCTCGTTACACTTTTTGGAGATCATTCCGATGAAGAGCTTTCTGTCTTCCACTGCTGTTAGGAGCACAGGCCATCAGACATTTACAGAACTGTGTGGGAGTGAATGAAGACGAGGCTCACCATTGTTTTTCTCACTGTCTGCAGGCTTCATCTGGATTGGATGGTGCATCTAAATGAGGAGGAAGGAACTAGATTAATTTGATTTACAATTTCAACTTGAAGACTTCTGCTTCATGACATCACAAGATGGAACAGAGCATTTTCAGCTTTGAAGATGCAGAGAGACTAATCGTGTAGGATTACTCAAATGTGTGAAACAAAACACAACTCCAGGTATAATTTTAATTAGGTAACATTCTAAGATGGCTAAAAGCTCAGAGTCATTTTTGCATAGTACAGGACCTTTATAATATAGACATAGGCTGTAATTACACTGACTTTATTTTTCATAAAACAGCATAACAGCAAAATGCTCAATATCAGCCTGGTTAAATGATGTTACAATTATAGCATGAATATGATCTTATCATTATTATCTTTCCAGAATCCATGATATGTTTAAAATATTCACCTTTAATTGAATAAGCATTTTAAACAATTGATCAAAAATATATGTATTTTTGTTCCTATAAGCTGTCCATCTCTACAGTGAGAACTGTAATATACATAGTATTGTATTGGCATGTGTGCCATTTCTGACATCAACCTGTCCAGAGACTGAAGGTGGAAATAAGCAATGTTGCTATAACCTGACACTCACATACTACCTCTTTGTGTAGGTCAATGTTTTTATGTGCATTGTGCCTGATAAATAAACAAATACATTAAACTAAACTAATAGACAGAAGGAGGTCTGACCCCGGGCAGGATCTTCATGTTGTGTAGAGCGTTCTGAGCCTCCAGAGCAGACTTCCGAGTGTAAAATGTGACAAAACAACAGCCTGCAGATGACAGAAGGCAGTCACACAAGGGCAACCAACAGCTCAATACAAAATGTCTTTCTTCTACTAAATAACTAGTAAGTTACAACATTTATAAATGTATTAATTATATTTTCCAGACACTCCAAGAAACACTCCTTTGTGGTTTTCTTTATTAAAGGGCCTATATGCTGTTTTCTGATCTATGATATAATGTTGTTTCCTCATCAAAAAACATACTTGAGTTGTGTTTTGTTTCATTAGCACATGTTTAGCACACAGACCCTGTATATGTGAGTGAGTTCTTCTGTCAAACAGAAAACCCTCTGATCCATCTTGTGATGTCATGTACAGGAAGCACTCCACTGCGTTTTTAAACTCCATACGTCTTCACTAGAATAATTTAGCTAATTTCAGTCCTGGAATTGCCAGTCTCTACTGAACTAAAGGTTACAGGTTAACAAGTAGCTGTTAACTTAACTACTGCTCAATGACATCACAAGGTGGAACAGAGTATTTTGAGCTTTGGATATGCAGACAGACTAATAATGCACGATTTCCTTTCATGTGTGCACGAAACAAAATACAACTCCATATATGTTTTTTTAGGAAGTAACAACAATAAAGTCAATTTTGAGGACCTTTAACCAGGCCAGCAAGATTATTTCTTGGCATATTTGTTCACAAACTCGTGACAGTTCATCTGGACAGAATCCAGTGTTGTGATTGCCTGGTCAAGCAGTGGTTCAGACCAATCAAAGGACAGAACTGTGGTCTGAGCAGAGTCAAAGGTGAAGCACCCAACTGAACCAAAATAAACATGGTGATGTCGGTAGAAATACTTCAACCTATTTGAGTGTAAATACAAACAAATTTAACAATATATTTTCTGAGAAGAGATAAGGGATCTAACTGAGAGAACATTTTAAGGTATTTATATTTGACCCAAGGCTCAGAGAAATATACATATACAAGAGACATACATAAACAAGAGCCTACTGACTGCTATAAGATGTACCTTTGCTCTGAGGGGGATTCTGGCTGCGGTCTCGGAGCACGTTGATCTCATAGACAGCTCCATAGGGTTCAAACAGTTCTCGGAGCTGCTCCTCAGACCAGGATCTGGGGATCTGTCCCACAAACATCTTGATGGCGTCCAGGTCGGGATGATCTGGCTGATCCAGAGACCCATTCAGTTTTTTACCTCTGAGACACAAGGGCAGGGGGTCACTGCAGGGCTCCATGTACAGGAGGACATTTCAGGTGACATCACAACATTGCCTTGGCTAATAATATTTAATCCAGATGGGGGCAGCTAAAATTATTACTGTTAAAATTCAGATACCACATATTCAGTCTGTATCTTTGATACTTTGATCTCCCATTCAAGTACTAACCAGGACCAACTCTGTTCAGTTTCCAAAATCAGACTGACAATATGTCTTTTTGTTATGGACCAAGCTGAGTAGATTTGAAAGTCAGTTTGGACCTGTGTCTGTGTTTAAGAGATATACCCTGTAAAACTATCATTTGAGGGACAGTAGTGGCATAGTGGATTAAGCAATGGTGTAGAAACACACAGGATCATGTCACCTTGTGAAGGAAGGGCATCTGACTTACAGCAGGCCCTAACTGTTCTGTATTTGTCGGTGCAGAATGAGTCATAAAAACTTACACTGGATTTGAAGACAAGGAGCAGTGGTCGACCATCATCTCTGGGAGAAAGTCCAGTTTGAAAGAAGACATGATGGCTCCTGTTCACTTTCCCCCGTGTCAAACGTCCTGATACAGCCCAGATATCCAAATATGTCCTTATCACACAAAACAGTGAAAAACAATTCAACAACAAACAAAAAATTGTCTAAAAACTTCTAAAAACACATTGCACAGAGTGTCCAAGCTCAGGGCGGGTGTTCCGACTCATCACTGGACACAGGACCACAACAGACTGACTGGACAGGGGTGGACAGAGGTGGACAGAGGGGCAAAGGACAGCACTGGACATAGAGGGCAGTGGACGTGCTGGACACAATCAAAGTGCTGATGTCCCTGGGCCGTTGTAAAGGTTTCTGTCAGAGCAGCAGATCTGTGTACCACTCCAAACAAACACATGTCACAGCGATGAGGAGAGGCTCCACTGAGCCCAGGGTATGTCCACTGAGAGGGGGCAGTGTCCTATAATCCTGCCCCGGTCTGACCATGCACACACACACACGCACTCACAATACAGAGGCAACACTTTTGGAGCACGCTGGATACTCTAGCAACTCTAAGTCCTGTTTTTTTAAGGGACTTAGTTCTTGTCCGTAGGTTGACCCCACAGGACTGCTCAACAGTTTTATTATAGGCCTACATTTGATTGGGACCCAGGTTACTTTGCATAAAATTCTGTGCTCAGAGCAGAAGTTGAAGATGTTCACAACTCAAAGAATACAGATTAAATAGATATTATGCACAGAACTGCATCATTGGAATAACAGCATTTGTTATTACAGAACTTGCTTGAGTGTCACTGGTGAGGATATAGCAAAAAAAGATTGAATTTTTCTACTGGGTAAAAGTTTTAGAAATGTCTCCACTCATCCGAGTAGCCTTCACCTGTTTAAGCATATCATAGAACACACATAATCTAAAGTGACAGATGGGCCTGCTACTACACATTGTGTTATTGTTTTGGCTACGCCAGGAGAACGGTCGATTACAGTAAATGCAATCCAGTCTCTTGTATTGAACCAAAAGCGCCCTCATGTGGTAGAATGAGTCACAACATCACAAAACTTCGATAGAAGATTAATTTAAAATAGGCCTACGCATAGATCTCCTTGAACAAATGAAACGTGTTTATGCTATTCACATGTATGCACGCCAGGAAGACAAGCATACCCAAATTTGGCACATTTCTGAAGCCGTGTGTCATTTTATGATCGGAGTAGAGTCAGGTCTCGCAATGCATTATGGGTCCGTGGCTGCAATGACGCAAAAGAATAGAGAAAAAAGTATTTAAAACGTAAAATTCGTGCATAGCAAATATATATATAGTTTATCTTATCGGGTTATTGTATTTTGTAACTTTCCTGGAACCAAATATTTTTGACGCTACTATTCCGAAACCATGACCTAGAGCGTCTGCGTAAACCTATTCTATATAAACCGGAACCTCAGCTATTTATAAGCGTGTTGTATGAAAGGAGAGAAGGTTAGCACTCCCCTAGACAAGGATGGAAATGGCCCCTGTGGCCTGCAACACATATACGGTTAAGGCACTGCCACCTACTTCGTGGCATCTCTAACCAAGTTTTTCAATTGTGTTTATGGTAAATGTTCGTGCTCTCTGCTTTTGGTTTTACATCACATCACAACTTTCTATAGGAAAATAAATAATACAGATGGAGGCAGCTAAAAGTAATATTGTTCAAATGGAGATTTCCATTGTAATACAGTGAGTTCCTGGATCTAGTCACTATTACTAATACTACAGAAATGGTCAGGTTCAACATTTCTGAATTTTTCTTTTGGATATTTCATGGCAAAGTGCAATGTAATCAGTATGGAAAACTGGCTCTTGGCCCCTATCTGACATGACATCATGACATTCTAGAATCTGAAAACCACCCATCAAATGAGTCGTAGCAATTTGTTTGACAGCACCTTGACTAGATTATGTTGCTGTAGGTGTTAATGATGTTGTGGATATGGTTTCATTATGTTTTTTGTGTATCACCAGTTGTTTTTGTTTTTTTGTTGGGTTTCAGTACAACATTCCATACATTATTATATAACAGATGGGAGGTAGTTAAAAGAAATATTGATAAAATGCAATATTTTTTGTTATAATGTAATATAGCAAATTCTGGGGTCTAATCACTAATACGATGATCCAGTTCAACATTATGAATTTACTGTTCGGGCATTTGTTATTAGACTCTAAATACTAGGGAATGCTGGCTTCTGTTTTGTCCCATTCGGAGTATGACATCATCATATACTAGAAAAGTCTAGAAAACCACCTATTTCACCAGCACTCTTTATTCTAGATAATTCATACTCCATATCATATTGGTGGTTTTCAGATTCTAGAATGTGATTATGTCATACTCTCAGATTTTAGCAGTAGACAATGATCACATTGTATTTTACCTTGAAATATACCAAAGGTAAATTCACAAATGTTAAATCTGATCATTTCTATTTGTGATGAGCACCAAGAACTCTTTCAACAATATTATTTTTTGCTGCCCACTATCTGTATTAAATATAAATGACCTACAGAATGTTGTGGTATCAATAGAAAAGCAGCAATTATTATTTGGTTTAATTTCCTATAATTAAATTGAACCAAGCAGATGTGATTTTATGTATGTAATGTAAGCTTTATATATTTTTTTTAAGTTTTATAGGTGCATTATGAGACTTTTCTGGAGAAGGGTTTGCCATTTTTTGTTTCCATGGAGATGTTTTTGTATTGCATGGAATGTTCCATTGGCATGTTTCAACTATAGTGTTTCATAGCTATCTTCTGTCTTTAATTTTTTTTTATTATATTTTTTTTAGGACTTCATTTAGTTATTAATTTTTTTTTATTGATTGATTTTATAATTTTTATCTATAGTTCCTATTGGATCTTTTTGTGTCATAACATAATTCAGACATTTTAGAGCCAGATGATTTACAATACTATGTGAAACACTTTGAAAACTGTCTTGTTTATAAAATGTACTACACAAATAAAATTGGATTGGAAAATGAAAATACTACTGCAATCAAAATTGTGAAAAAATGCATCCTTATTGTGACTGGGCTCGCTTCTTCACAGACCTGACCTGGAATTGGCCTGGTGGCATCCCATTTGTCTCCATGGAGATAGACAAGTTTAATGTCATACTGTGGAACAATCTAGGCAAAGCAACAACATTTCCATGAATTAATTGCAATAACAAAAACACAATGCACAAAAATATATGTTTATTAGAGTTCAACAGGTGCTCCTACAGTACATCTCAAGAATAAAGTCTTAAAAGTCTTAAAAGTCTTAGTTATTTAGCAGGCATTTGTGTCAAAAAAGGGAAAAAAAAAAAAAAAATCAGGACACTATTCCAACTCAGTCTGGTCCTTTTTGGTATTCCACAGAGAAAAACTAAAGTATTAAAAATAACATGGATAATCCTTGGTGTGGATTCCAGCCTGCAGGTGTCACATGATCAGCCTCTGTCCCAGGATCTTGCGGTTGATCTCGGCCAAAGCCACAGAGAACACAAAGGCCTTCTCATCAGACAGGCTGGCGTACATGTCCACCTCCTTCTCTTGTTTCTCTGTCGACACAAAGACACGTTAGACAGTGATCGATTTCTTTATTTTTTTCTGCATAATTCTAAAATGACCATTGTTAACATGCGATTTAACACATTAAGCCTGTATAATCTCTAAAAGCTGTTTAAAAAAAAAAAAAAAAACACAAAAGAAAAGAAAGAAGAAAATAATGAAATCTGAAACTAGTGCAACTTCTGAAGGGCTGCATCTTACAATTACCATACAAATTGTTTAATCTGTCAATTATTTTTGGACTATAAGGCGATTAGATAAGGCGTTAGAACGTAATAGCATTGTGAGTATGACATTTTTAAAGAGCCCATTTTACGCTTTTTTTCTGAGGTATGTTATAATGTTGTTTCCTCATCAAAACATACCCGGAGTTGTGTTTTTTTCAGTGTCGTTCCATTCATGAGTTCTTCTCTTGTGGTAATACGGGAAGTGTTAGACTGTGGTTTTTAAGTCTGAACACCTTCCTGGAATTGCAAGTCTCTATTCAACTAAAAGAAAAAAGGTTGTTAATTTTAAAACTACCTCTACATGGCATAGACAGAATAGGATTACTCAAACAGGGTAGCTGCGGGGTCTTAAAAGTCTTAAAAAGTCTTAATTTCGTGTTCCTAAATTAAGGCCTTAAAAATCTTAAATCATGTTGTCCAAGTCCTATTTTTTTTCACAAAGGTCTTAAATTTCATTAGCCTATTTTTTTGTAAACTCAACTGGGGTGCAGTGTAATTTTAAACAGAGGAAGGGGAAAAAAACAACAGCATGAAATCATGTAATGTGAATTCTACGTCTAATTTGGAGAATGCGCAAACAATACTTTGGTTTCTGGCGCCGGCGGCAATGAGTAAAAACAATCAGTACAGTAAACAACAGTTTGTTGTTGTTGAAAATGTTAAATGGTTGAAGCACTTTGAAAGACAATGTGAGACAAGACAATGTGAAAGGTTAGTTTGTCTTGTTAGAATGTTAGAAATGATTTTTGGCCATTTTACAAGCAATGCATACTACTATAATTGAGTTCTGAATGAGATTTTATAAGTTTTTTTTTTTTGTTATTTAAAGCCGTGAGAAGAGTCATTATTAGAATTGGATCTGGTGTTTTTCGACCACATACTGGGTGCGATGTTGGTCTTAATTTTCATTTAAGTGGTCTTAAAAAAGTCTTAAATTTGGGGTAGTCAAACCTGGGGATACCCTGTGAAATATGTGTGAATAAAACAAACTACAACTCCAGATATGTTTTTGAGGAGGTAACAGCATTATAACATGGCTTAAAGATCACAAGAATCCATCCATCTATCCATTTTCTTCCGGTTATCCGGGGTCAGGTTACAGGGTCAACAGTCTGAGGAGGACCTCCCAGACTTCCCTCTCCACACACACGTCCTCCAGCTCTTCCAGGGGGATCCCGAGACGTTCCCAGGCCAGCCGAGAGACATAGTTCCTCCAGCTTGTCCTGGGTCTTCCCCGGGGCCTCCTACCAGTGGAGGAACACCTCCCGAGGGAGGGGTCCAGGAGGCATCCGAAACAGATGCCCGAGTCAAATCAGTTGGCTCCTCTCAATGTGGAGGAGCAGCGGCTCTACTCCAAGCTCCTCTCGTGTGACTGAGCTCCTCACCCTATCTCTAAGGCCAGCCACCCTGCGGAGGAAACTCATTTCGTGCACTTGTATCCGCGATCTTGTCCTTTCGGTCATTACCCAGAGCTCATGACCATAGGTGAGAGTAGGAACGTAGATTGACCAGTAAATCGAGAGCTTCACCTTTCGACTCAGCTCCCTCTTCACCACAACTGTCCGATACAGCGACCGCATCACTGCCGACGCTGCACCGATCCGCCTGTCAATCTCACGCTCCATCCTCCCCTCACTCGTGAGCAAGACCCCGAGATACTTGAACTCCTCCACTTGAGGCAGAGAATCACAAGAATCCTTTTTATGTAATACAGGACCTTTAAATTTTACCAAAGTTTATCCTGATGGAGAATATTCATCCAAAAATTTTAAACGTTCATGTTTTCTGCCATTAACAGGTGAATGATAAAATCTCTTAGCTACACAAACAGCATGTTTTGGAGTCCGTGTACTGTCCAAATAACAACTATTACTTCTTAATTATAAATTGGATATCTATACAAATGTAATTAAAGCAGTTTACAATATCTTAAATAATAGAATATGATAAAAATGACAACGTAAAGAGCCTCCTCTGTCTCTGCTCTGACTTCAAATAAAAATACAATTGCCCAGTGTGTGCAAAAAGATCAAGATTTAATTTTTGTAGCTATATCGTTCAGCCTTATACAATATCATAATTTACTATTTGTGAACTAAATGTAATGCTTTGTAGAGCAGGAACTAGACACGGCACACCTCTGTCATCCTCCACCTTCTTGAGGCCCACAGTCTTGGGTCTCCCTCGGCCCCTGCGGATGGGGTCTCCCTGGCAGCTGGGCCGGGCTCTCCTCCTGTTCTCCATGTCACTAGGGAGAGCCTCGATGCGGTCTTTACGGATGCGCTCAGTCCGCCGCCGTTTCGACTCCAGTTGATCTGCACAAAGTTAAATACATTCAAAACACGTACTGTATATCCCAATGTACGTTCAGCGGTTCCTTCCTGTAAAGGCAACGTTTTGATTATATTTTGACATGATGGATAAAACAATGCAGTTATTCTAAACTAGAGGGAGAATCACCATGGTAACCTAAAGTAACAGATGCCCATGTCCAGCAGCTGTGTTGTGACTGCAAAATTCCACTCAAGAACTCACTTCAATGTTGGAAAATAAATACAAATATTAATTATTATTTATTTATCTATGTATGTTAGGCAACTAGAATAATTATGCAGTGACATTGTAACTGTTAAGCTCTAAGTTCTTCTTTGAACAAAGCCTCAGGAAAAGAAATGTACATATATACTGAAAGTTTTCTCAACCTATACATGTCCCACATAGATGATCTTGGTGTCTAAGTGAAGATAAGACTTGGTGCTTTCTGTCTGCTGTTAAATAAAGACATTATATAACATCAGTAATAAGAACACTAGACTCAAACACAATCCTTCTTAACTGACAAACAAAATCTAAAATCAAAACTGAAAATTGCTTTCTAAATTTTGGATGTACCTTCTGGGACACCAAGGAATTGGAAAAACAACTTGAGATCATCACTTGTGCAAAATTTGGCGCAGATAAAACAAAATATGTACATTTTACACTGTTTTCAGTAGGGAAAAGTCCAGGCATCCTGAGTCAATCTGGTGCCCATGTGCCACCCAATTGGCTTCATCAGATTTTGTCAGAATAAATAATTTATTGAGATAAAACATTTTGACACACAAGGACAGCAAATAAAACATTTTCAAACATTTAATGTCTCAATTTAACCCATAATAAAGCTGGTTTTGAGTTGTGTAAAAGTTGTTTCGTTAAATAAAAAATAATAATAAAACACTGAATTCTAATATTGTTAATTTTCAGATTTTTCATAAGTTCAGTTTTATGTTGGTAGAGTGACAAATAGGCACTCTCCTTTCTCCTAGAAATGTTCTTGCTAGATTTTTTTTTACATTTACATGGTCTTGTCTTGTGTCTAATTTGAGATGTGAGACTACTAGTACTACCACTTCTACTAGAGTAGACGTAACTACTATTAACAAAGAAGATATTACACATATTGAACTTTGCCCCACTTTTTTCTACTGTATGTGTACAGTGTAGTAGTTAAAAACGATTTCGTAACTTCTGAACCAACCAGACCAAAACCTACTACTACAATTATTACTACAACTACTGCAACTACTACTAGAGAAGATAGACAAAGACATTTAACAGTCACAAAATGGCCACAGCAATTTCCACTGCAACAGTATCCATAATTCCTCTGTTTTTATTTTCACCACACTAATGGAAAACCCCTGACTCGTAATTTCCTGTGTCTAATTTGAGATTTCAGAGTAATAATGTACTTCTAAAGAGTAATCTATTAGTCCTAAGAGAAAAAAGTAAGTGTGGTTATATTATAAAAAGTTCAATCACCTGCTAGTCCTGGGGAGGAGGGGCGCTCATTTAACCTCGCCGTCAGGAGTTTGCGACTAATAAAAACAAACCCACAGGGACACGACTTACACGCCACCGGAATCTAGAAGGAGACAAAATAAAAACACATTAGAAAAGCTGATCCAAACAATGTGAAAATGTTGAAATGGATGTGTTGTAGGATACTATTTTGTAGTGTCTAGTCATGAAACAAAAATTTCAAACTTGATTTCGAGACTAAGGAAGAGATACAGATTCCAGTACAACCATAATAAAACCACTTTATTTAGACAATAGAAATTCATTTTCAACATTATATTTCTTACATATTTAACCTGTGGTGTTATATGTGTGTAATCCCTCAGTGGTCCAGGTAGGTTCCATAGTGATCTGTGTGTATAATAGTCTATGTGCTCTTATACTTGTTCTGATACAGCTCAAGATCATTCTAAATCTATTCAGGAAAGGTTCATTTCTGTCCTGTGAATGTGACTTTTTTTTAGTATCCATACCTGCTAAAATGAGTACCTAGTTTTGGTACTAGTTTTAGTATTGAGTAGTATCAGACTTTCAATACTTCTGACAATCCTAGTAGTGCCTACAATGAAGCTGAGGTGGGGCAAAGCAATCAGAACGTGTACTTAAATGAAAAATATGCAAAAGGGGTAAAAGTATTAGATGAAAGAAAAACTATGTTAGAAGATAAAAATTTTGAATAATAAACAACACATACATGTTTTTTTTTCCAAATTTCAACTTCAGTTTGCACAAATATGTATTCTATAAAACTACAATGAATAAACGACACCTTTTTTTTTTTTGTATTTCAAACAAAAAATACTAAAATGTCCTGCAGTGTGAGTAGCTCTCCAGCCTTTTCCAAGTAGCTTGCCAAAGAATTTCTGAATTATACATTAGGTGCCAAATGACTCAAATCTGATTAATTACCATTGTAAATGTAGAATTTTGATGACTAACTTTGTGCACTAATAAATGGATAAATGCTTATGTTTTATAGGTATCTAACTGTTCCCCAGCTATGGCTTTTCTATGCTCAGTTTATTGTGACCACTAAAATGAGTAGCTCTTTGGCATTTTCTTTTTGTAAAGATAGCTCAGATAGGAAAAAGGTTGGAGACCCGGTTTAGAATGAGTTACTTCAAAGGTGTTGGGATAAAGGGACACATGTGTACATTATTTAATATAGTTAAACCTTTATCTCTGCTTTAAATCAAAAAAGATATATATTCAGTGGAATGCTGTAATCCAAAGGGTGTCCTGTAGTGTGACATGAAAAATAACAGATTTAAAAAGACAAAAAGAACACAATTCTAATAGATAAAAAGACATTCTTTAATATAATGGAACAATTGTATAATCATTATTAAGATAGTACAATATTATGTACATTTTTTAAACTAAATCTGTAGTGAATTTTCAGTGGGATGACTGGAGAGGTCACACTGTAGGGCATGTTAATGTCTAAAATTAAATGAGTTACACGAACAGTTATGTAATGCTTGTGAGAAGGTTTCTTAACAATATTGTACAAATGATTTGTTTTTGAAAATAACTTTTGTATGTTGCTACAACTTCAGGTGTGTCACACCAAATATCAAATACCCATATAAGCATGAAACACACACAATGTGTACATTGTAAATGTGTACTTTTCACAATGTTACAAGTAGGCCTAGCCTGTGTTGGTACAATTTGTTCAAACGTTACACTACCATTACTACCACTACTACTACCCCCACTACTACTACTACCCCCACTACTTCTTTGTCCCACTTTTTTCTTACTATTTTATGTGTAAGTATGGTAGTTACAGAGATATTAAACATCAACTACTAACTAATAACTATAGGCCTATTACTAACAAAGAAGACATTAAACACGTTGAACTTTGTCCCACTTTTTTCTTACTATGTTATGTATAAAGCCTAATACAAATCTAATAGATCAAACAAAGTGTTTTCCAATGTTCAGCAGCAGAATCTCTCCTCTGTCCTCATTTTCTGACACGTCCATCTTCTACCAGATCTCCACTAGTGCCCTTGTCCCGTCTCACCCTCCCTCCCAAACCGCACACTGTCACATCCCAAACTCCTTCTTAATCTCTCCTCACCTGTTGGTCGCACTCAGGGCAGGATTTGGTGGCCATTTTGACTTTCTTTGTTTTATTTGCCGACATAGCGCCGATGTGGCAGCTGCAGGATCAGGCCCCAGCAGCTTCGATATCGCAATAGGGACCGGGGACGGATGACAGCGTGTGCAAAAGGCTCCTTCACCGAATGCAACCCCGTACTAAGCCAGATCTGTCCCGTTTGCACATTTTGATCGGAGAATAAAGGATTGAGGATCGATGCCTTTTGCAGCCGCTGCTCTCTGTGGTCTGCTCAGTCTTCTTTAGGCTGCAGCCGGTAATGGAAAAAGCAGCTACAGGGGTATTGTCGCCACCCAACGAGCTGGAGTGCCGCTGAGAACTGAACGGTCATGGAAAAACAATACGCTTATTATAAAACTAGAGGGATGATCACCATGGTAACTTAGTTAGAGATATTATGCACCTCTAGCAGCCATGTTCTGACGAGACACTGGCAAGAACTCACTTCAGTGTTCATTTGTATCTAATGCTAATGCTCATGCAATAATAAATAATAATGTATACATATCGACATACTGCATAGACTTACATGAAGTAAGATATATGGAAATATGTAGTAAAAGAAAATTGTAGTAAATCAATTATATATATCCTCAAAATAGGCACCCTTATTTGTCAAAAAAAATTAGTAGTTATTTCACGTATTTCTTTACATAATTCCATATATCTTACTTCATATATTTGATGTATTTTGTATGTATCTAAAATGTACAAAATAGTAAAAAATAAAGAAAATGTGTTACATGAGATGATGTCCAAAAGTTTTTCACTGGCAGCAACTTCTTAATAGTACATTAGTTACATAGAAAAATTTAGATTTAGCAAGGTGGTAGTGTGGTCGTCTCTCTGGTCAGTGTATGCCATTGTCTTTTACTTTTCACCCATCTAATCCACACATGTGGTGTGTGAAAGAGTGAATGTTGGTAGTCTGAGAGGTAACCACATCTGTCAATTTGCAAAGAAGTGTGATAGAATACTGTTCTTTTGCTAATCCAGTACCTTTTCTGTGTAGAGTTTGCATGTTCTACTCATAGTTTACAGTTCTGTTGTTTATAGGAGCCAGTTTGAGTACTTTTCACCATTCAAAAGACAGAAGATTTTGTTCTGAATTGCTATGCTATGGCTTTTCTGACACAACCAATTACAATCTCCACGATAATGGGCAATCTTTTCTTTTCTCTTTTTTTCAAAACAGCATAGATTATAGAGCACACATTTTATTGGATAACTTTATTTCAGTTACATGACGATAATTTCACTATTTAATCACTATTTAGTTTGTAATCTGTTTTACAAGCATTTAGGCAATTTATAATAAAACTGAATGAATAGTAAATAATTCTCCAGCAAAAAAAAACCTAAACAAAAAAAAAAAAAAAAAAAAAAGAAAAACAAGCTGCGCTCTAACTAACTCTCAATGTCCGGGACACATAAACAATGAGGATACATAAAGAAGAGGAGTTGACATGTAAGCGCAGAGGTTAGACATGTGCAATGGACACGTGTGAGAGAGAGGGGGCAGTGACGAGACGATCAGACGGGACCATGGGTGCACAGTGGGCTTGACCAGTCACACAGCTTGAAGGATGGAATCATGTTCTAGTGTTGGGTGTCACATACAGGGCTTGGCATTAACTTACAGCCGTGCAATTAATAGAATTTTAATAAATCCACTCTTTACAGATGGTCAATGATCAGCTTGGGTCTTGTTAGTTAAAGGGTCTACAGTAAGTCCTCAGTAAAAGCATGTGGACACTGGAGCAGAGTTCAGACTTTGGAGGAAGAAATTTAACTATTATGTGAGATTGACTCTTGTGAGTTTTAAGTCACATTAGAACTTCGTTACCTCATCAAACACATACCTGGAGGTGTGTTGTTTCATTCACACGTTTGAATAATGCTGTATTACTGGGCTCTCTATAACTGCAAAGCAAAATGCCCGTTCGACCTTGTGATGTCATGAAGCAGTACTTTTTCAAGTTAACAGCTGCTTTTAACTTTTATTCAGTGGAGATTGGCAATTCCAAGGCTGAAATCCAAATAATTCTAGTGAAGATGTATGGAGTTCTAAAACACAGTGAAGCGCTTCCTGTATTAAATTACATCACAAAGTGGAAGAGTGTATTTTCTGATTCTGTTTAGGAACTAAATTTGGATTTAGCAGCTATTACTTCAGGCCTCATTTCAACCACTTTTTCCCCTTAGTGGAACTGCACACAGGGACTTCGGGCTCTCTCTACTTGATTTCTGTAGACAATAGAATCAACATTAAATAATAGTATTTTCTTTTCTATTCCTATGTGGTCTTATATCTGTGTAATCCCTCAGTCATCCAGGTAGGTTCCAAAATGGTCCATGAGCTCATACTATGAGGTTTAAGTGCTCTTATACTTGTCCTGATACAGCTCAAGATCATTCTAAAGCTATTATTCTAAAGGAAAGGTTCAGTTCTATCCTGCGAATGTGACATTTTTTCCTCAGTATCTAGTGTGGATTCTAGTTTTATTATCACTTAGTATGTCATTTTCTATACTTCTGACAACATTTTTCCAAAGTAGTTGAGATAAATCCAGTCAAACATAAATATTGGTAAAATAGACTAAGTCACATTTTTTTTAATGAAATGAGACACAGTATTCTTTTTTCCTCCACTGTTGTTAAACCGTCTCATCTCCTCAAAAGTTAAAAATTTAACCACTCAGGTGACTATATGTGTAATATTCTACTGACATTTGACCCCTGTCTGTCGTTAATGCCGAGTCCTGGTCACATGTGTGGTGTGGGTGACGTGTGCAGCCTATAGGAGCAGGCCCTCGTACGCCGGGCCCTCTGTCTCGGGGGACTCCCTCTGCAGGCGCAGGTGCTCCAGAGTGTTCTGGAAGTGCTTGTTGATCTGCTCCGTCTCCTCACTGGCCTCCAGGTTGGGGAGGTCCTCTCGGATCTTCTGGATCAGTTGGTTTAGGACCTGGACAGTCACCTACAAAAACAACATGAGAGAAAAACATGCAGTCAAAACTAAAGTATATGCAAGAAGTGGAGTGTTATATAATTAGCAATATCAGAAAGGCTCTATTCATGATCACAACAAAATAAAACGTGACACATTAACACTAGGGTCCTCATCTGACAGACAATTTGATTTTATGATTTTAAAGAGTTGCTATGAACAAAACAAAAAAAAAAAATACAAAAATCAGCTTTTAGTAATAATTTTCTTTATGTAGTCCCAGTTTCACAGTTAAATAAGAAATTCTTCAATGTTCTTTCAATTTACAAAGGTACATAAAAATATTATAATCACATCAGTATAGATACTACATATTAAAAGGCCTTGTCCTCATTTTTTTAACTTGTCTTGCCTCAGAACAGATATATTGTATAAGCAAAAGAATCAACTGCATCTAATTCTAAAGTATTTTATTAGGAAGTGCTTGTTACAATTATAGATACTCTGAACATTATTGTCTCATATCTGACAGTTGTAAAACATGCTCATAAACTCATTGTGGTGAATAAAGCTCAGAATGCTTCAGGTAAGTGAGGAATAATTTTGGACTACTGCAAACCGCTGAAAATGGACTAGCGCCATTTATCACATTTTAAAACTGTTACATTAAGGTACAGTGCAGATAATTAAAACATACCATATTTATTTATCATATTGTGCGGCCTGAAAGCACAAAAATGCCTGGTGGATTGCACATAAACATCTCACTCTTCTCACCCAGCAGTAATACTTCTGAAGCCCTTGTGCAGGTGCAGCTGTGTCTACTCGACCCCATTTGTAAAGTATCATAGACCTCATTAGAACGTCATGGTGCAGCGCTTAGTGTGTGAAACATTCCCAAATTATATTGTTGTTTCAGTGACACATTATGAA